AGCAAGAGAACTTTGACTTGTCCCAGTTACAGGGACAGGCACTAAACCTGACCACTGACTGGGTGTCAAATATTCTGACAAAAAGAATAATGGCTTCTTAAACACTATTATTGAGAACAAACTAGTGTAGTTTAACAGTAATCATAGTTTAAGATAACCTCTGGAGAGCTGTCAGAAATTATTAAACATTGTTAATATATAAAATTAGCTGTTTTCAGCATTCATCTCAGTCTGAGAAAAAAATTGCTAGGATAGCTATTAGCATGCTTAAGTCAAAGTTTTACAGAAAACTGGCCAGCTTGCAAAATTCTGGGAAAAATTCACTTCTGAGTATCATTTACAAGTGAACTTCACTTTAAGCACTGACACTTGCTAAAAGCCAGAAGAAAAATTCCAGATTCCACTTAGGATGGAATTTTTGAACATAAGAGAAAAAAAGAAGTGAGTGTCTCTGGCACAAAGTCAGTCCTTGTTCAAGAACTTGGCTTTGGAGTGTTAGGTTTTGCATGGAAAAAGTCTAGGTGGATGGGGAGGGGTTAATATTAGAAGAAATGGAAGATAAATAAACACTTCATACAAAAACGTTTTGGGTTTTCAGTGGATTTTAAAATGGGGCGTGAGAAATCAATATATTGACTATTAACATCTATCAGTATTAATTTGAAATCCATTTCCATATTTCCACCTTTGATGATATGTTATTAAAAATACACTCATTACTATTATCTGCATCATACGGCAGAGATTTTTTTTATTTCTAAAAAATATATTCTTAACACCCATACTTTAATGTGGAAAAAACCTAAAAAAACAATAAAAGCCAGAACTGGAGTAAAAAACACCAAACCACATGCACTTTTCACTCTTACCATTGGTAAGTGACAACTCTAATCAATGCAAGTACAGTAATCAGCTGGAACTTTTGTCTCTATAATAACAAGCTCAAATAAATAAGAAATAGAAAAATAATATTTGAGAATATATGGACTTAAAACACTAGTGTGATTGAAGGTGCTTGCAGCTAAGGCATCTTTGCTTATTTCCTCTTAGGAAGCAGCAGATGCTCAGGCAATAGATGTCCAGGCATCTTCCTCATTAGAACACACCAAACCTCTCAGAAACTCCCAAAAGACCAATTCAAACAGGTCTTCAGTTCTGTAATAAAAAAATCTGATAACACAGTCTTCAAAATTAGCAACTCCAACACCACAGACAGAATAACTGCCCTAACCAGTCTGTCCTTCAGTTGGCTTGGACAATCTGCAATTAGAAGTCTCTCTGAAGTCCCTTAGCAGCAAAAGTGAAGGAACAGGAGTTCATACGGGAACAAAGGCATCAAGAAGATACCAAAATGCCCTGAGAGAATCAGTGATAGTGAGATTCATAGTCTCAAAGTAGGCACTGGAAATAAGAAAAAAAAAAATCCCAGTATTTCCTAAGACAAAAGCCGCAATATGTTCGCTGGAATGCAGGGGAAAAAAGAAAAGGGCCATATGAAATTCGGGGGGAAAAAAACCCTAGAGGTGTGAGAGAAAGAAACTGTATAAATATCAGTATGTCCAAAACAATCTGTGCTCTTATTAATCATAATTCTAAAATGATAAAAAGACTCTCTTTTCGAGTGAAAACAGTCATCGATGTCACATGCTTCATTATGGAAAGGATTTATGCAGTTTCCTCTTTGCAATGTTCCACGTGTTCTTCTTTTCAAAGCCCTCTTACAGCAACTACCAGGCACTACAGTGCCAACTCACATTTAAAAACTGAGAGACACCACGGAAGAAAGAGAGGTAAGGAGTTTTGCTCCAAAATGTTTTAGTATATTAAAAAGCTGAAAGTTAAATAAAGCAAAGGATACTAGCTTTAATTCAGAACTGAATTAAAAACAGATTCCTTTGCTTTATTGGTGGCAAGTTTATACCAAAATTATTTGTAATACCTTGCAGAAACTATAAACACATCATATTCACAGCAAATCCCCACTTCTATTAGAAGAAGGTTCTTCACCCAGAGGATGGTTGGGCACTGGAACAGGCTCCCCAGGGAAGTGGTCACAGCACCAAGCCTGACAGTTCAAGACATTTGGACAATACTCTTAGGCACGTGGTGTAACTCCTGGGGTGTCCTATGCAGGGCTAAGAGTTGGACTTGATGATTCTTGTGGGTCCCTTTCAACTCAGCATATTCTGCGATTCTACATTTGAAGCAAAATTTGGACTCTAAGCCAGCATAACAGTTCTGAGGTAAATTTGTGCCATTTAATGCTTTTCATGACCTTTATTTTAAGTCAAGGCCCTCTTCAAGGACATTGGTAGTTACACTCTCTTGCGACTGCTAAAAAGAAAAATACACCCTGTGTCTCATGCTCTTTGATTTCAAGTGGATGAAAGGCCATTCATGGGTACCCAACACTGCTGCACCCTTTTTCATCTGTTTTGCTTAAACAAGCAATGAATTCATTGTCACCAATGACCTCATTAGCATAGACTTACTTGCATCTGCAGTATAAAAAGTGCTCCATAAAAAGAAATTCTATTTTATCTCACACCAGTCAAGACTTTTAAAGCTACTATTTGATATACAAATGAACTAGCTCACCTTTTTCTTATTTACTTGTAGAAATAGCTTGTCTATCTGCTCCAAAAGACACCAGTGATGTTGATTTACAGGATATAGCAATGCAGTCAGACTTTGCTAATGACCAGGTAACTTTATTTTTATCCTGGTGTCTCCATCAAGCCACTTTAAAGAGGAATTGAAGTTCTTCTACACAGTTTAGAAGCCTCTTTCAAAATGTGCAGTATTTCCATTTGTTAACTAGCGTGTTTTCAAGGCAATCCTGCTTGAGCCATAACAAATGGGAAGAAACACAGAAGAGTATAATAAAAAAAAATTCTATCATGAGTTCAAAGATTATAAATACCCACTAAAAAGAGAGTCCTAATTTGGGGTCAACACTTCACAGGGAAGTAATCAATCAGAAGACTATTTGTTGCAATGCTACTTGCTGTAACACACAATAGGAAATGATCACCTGTAAATTATTTTGAGGATGGGACTTTTGAAGCAGGGAGAGATGCAAACATAGAAATGTCAATTTTGGCCACAACTAAAAAGGAAATAGTAATGAACCTAGTAAAACATACTCATGTAAAAGTAGGGCCTTTGCTCATGCACAGCTCTGCATGAGATACTCAACCTAGATCCTCTCATGTTTCTTTTCAAGCATGTTTGAACGTCTATTCCGAAACACACCACCTGAAAAAGCACTAAATAAAATATAGAAAAACTGAATAATTTCACACTTTTTCCCCCTTTTTTGGCCATTTTTTAAAAATGCTTAATGAAGCTAGTTTCAACATCTGGTTTTTGAAACTGGGTCTTTAATGCATGCAATGTTTGATGCCTGGAAAGAAAATTGTTTGAAGTGAAGAGAGAACACTGAAAAAAACCAAATCACTGGCCCCTGGTTTCCTTGATCTAGGACCAATTTATGTGCATTTTAGCCATTAAATTTAACTCCTGGTAGTTTGAAATGTCAATTAACTCAAAATAAGTCTCATTAGATAGTGCAGACACTTGATTCTCCTAACCGTTTGACTCTTGTTGAAATGTACCCGTAATTGATTGCAAAATAATCACTGTTAAAAAGCAGGGTATACTGTCACTGTTTGGAAAAAAAGAAGTTTCATAAATGAAAAAAATAAATTTGTCTTTTTAATTCACTCGTATCCTGTAATTCTAGCTCAGAATTTATTTAGTTTTATTTCACAATGTACTGAACAAACATTACGGAAATAACTCTACCAAGACCCCACCAGCAAAGACTGGATTTTTTCCATATGGAATAAATACTGCTATCATTTTCCATATGTCTTTGCTTACTTTCAGTTCTTAATATAAAAACATTGCAAACAGAAACAGGCACAGAAGAGTTATCAAACCCTGCTAGAGCCAAAACCTGGACACAAATGTAACATCATAAGGCAAACAGGTTTGAATTCAAAATGAAATTCCAGGAGTCCAAGTGCTATAGCTGCTAAACTCAAAACACATCAGTGCATTTTCATCAGACCTTGGGGTTTGCTTTGGGGGTTTTTTGTCGTTGTTGTGTTGCTTTTGTTGTTGTTTTTTTTTAAGTGTTCACAGAAAACTAATTTGCCATTTTGACAGCCCTACTATGTAAAGCCTGGACAAAAGAGCAACTGTAAGCATTGAAAGGCTACTTCCTACTCCCAACCAAACAAGAATAAATATGTTCCTGAAACCTAGCCAAGCAGCTGTATTTCAAAAAGATTCTGTTTCATTCTTAATTTGGAAACAAAGGAGAGTGCTTTGCAATGTATTATTTGCATTACTCTAATAATCTAGAAAGCAGATCCTGTGCCTGCACCTACAGAAGCTTAGACGGTAATTTGGCAGACTAGACTGTATTATCATACAGTCAACTTTTTTACTAACAGACCTTTGCTTCACGGAAGTAAAACACCAATGAAACATTTCAAGCAAGACAAAAATTACATGTCACATTAAAGTAAGGGAAAGAAGGAGTTCTGGCTTCAAACTGCCTGCTGTTTGTGCTTCATACAACACATGGCAAATCACAGACTGGTCAGGTAACTTCCTATAACCCAGGACAAATGAATTTGTAGATGACTCTCAGTAAGGATTCAATTCTGACAGATCCTCAGTAACTGCAGTGACAAGTAAGATGCTTTTAACTTCACTGCACTCCTCAGATTTTACAATGGTGTTTTTACTTCAACAGGAGCATCCCCCATTTGCACAGACACTACTTTCGAGCTAGTTTTGTAATGTTTGAGAAAGCTCTAAGAGCAGGGAGAGAAACTGCTGCTTCATTTAAAGTCCTGCTTCACTTTCATTGCACTTCAGTACCTAAAAATATATGGAGGAAGGAGAGAGGGGCCAGATGTCTCTCTAGTCAGTCTGTTAGACACTGTAGCAAAGTTATTACTGAAAGAATATTTAAAGGAACTTACCAGTAGAGAAAACAAGAACTGTGTTGTCCCAAAGACCATTTGTTTTCAGAGCATCAGTAAGATTTCCTACAGCTTCATCCATAAGAGTCACCATCCCTGCATAATGGCGCCTCTTTAAATCTTTTATGAAAGAATATGGTTTCATGTATTCGTCAGGGACCTCAAGAGGTTCATGGACAGACTGAAAGGCAAGGTAGAGAAAGAGGGGCTGGGGTGGAAGGGACAGAAAGGAAATTAGTTGAACATAAAGTACTACATGCCAAAGTTACTGCAGCAAAAGCAGACCTGATTCATCAACAGTGCAGGCAATGTGTTTTGGTTTCTTCTACATCTTCTAATCCCTGCACATAAACTAACAAAACTTTGAAAAATTACTTCTCCAAAGCTGTGGAAAAACATCAGGAGTATCTTTTCTTCATAATACATTTGTGAACAACTTATTTCTACTAAACTTCTCACATTAAACTTTCCATTCTCTTCTTAGAAGCGTAAACTACTTCTAAACCATTTCTAAAATCTTATTAATTGTATTGTAATAAAAGAAATGGAGATCAGTAGCAGGCCAGTGACAACCAAAGCTGACAAGTTTTAGCAGCACTACTTCTCACATTTAGCTCTATGCACCTTAGTGAATAGCCCCAAATTACAGTTCAAATGCGGGTCTCTCTCTGTTAATATTTCATTCACATTTTTTAAAACATTCTTTAACATTGAAGTTATCAGAGTAACAGCTGCTGACTGTACCTTCTCAGTTTTGTGATTTGCTATAAGATCTATTGCTCTTTCTGTAAATAAATTTGTGGAGTACACATTTTTAAATCCAGTTGCAACTTCTTCTCCATCTCGAAAGTCCAGAGCACAGCGCGTTACATTCTTTGTTTTGATGAGAACGCAACGGTCATGAGTGTAATAATCCTCACTGCCCAAAAGATAGCCTAGAACAGGAAAAGATGTGAAATGAGCAGGACAACATCGTGTCACATAAACAGATACATCAGGGAGAGAAAAAAGCCAAACATAAATGTCAAAACATTAGTGGTTTTGAGTTGAAGAATGAATTCAACACTGAACCACCTACAGAGACACCTCTGACAGGTCTAAGTAGCCCAACATTTAATACCTCATCGACTGCTCATCGCTAATGCAAGTAGTAATTTCAAAAGAAATTAAACATTCTGAAAGCAGTTCCATGATTTCATAATTATAATTTGATACCAAAATATTAGCAATAAACTAATGCACTGATAGCAAAGGCAGTGATCTAGTCTGTGCACTAGTCTGATTTTTGCTGGTACAATTTTCTATGTTTGTATTTTCATGTAAGACTTCCATCTCTAAAAGAAAGTTTGGAATTTTTTTAATTTATTTATTCAAAAACACTCAAGTACAAAACATCTTTTATGTCAGCTGTTAAGTCATTTCCGATCTATTGCTGACACCAGGTGGTGAAGAAAGGACACTATCATTTAGAGATACCCAAAAGAAACCAAGCAAAAATTCTATAGGTATAGATTTGCTCCTACCTAGGGCTATCCTGTGGAGCAGGATAACATAACCCTTTGTGTTTCAGTTATCAGAAACAAAACTTTTTAAAATTCTTTGAATCTCAGAAATTAGTACTGCTTACTTGAATTTTTATTCAGCAGCTTCAGACAGTTATTTGCACAAAACACATGTACAGAAAGAATGAAGTTGCCTTAAATACAATATAAATGTCTAATATATTTTTAGGAGAAAAATATGTTTTCTTTCAAAGCATGAAGACTGACTTTGTGTGCAGACTGCTTACATCAATGTACTCAGAGGAACAAGTTGCATTTTTTCCATTTTGAAGGCCCAGTGGAGGACACATTCCATCAAGCGTGCCATGGAATCAAATGCTGCTAATAAATGCCTACCAGAATTTCATTAACATTGTAGGATATTGAACTGTTACATTCCTTGAAAAATAATGTCACATTGGGCACCCAACGACCAACCCAGTGCCAGCCTGTGTTCAGGCTCCTGCATTAAGTGCTTGCTCAGTCCCAGGGTGAGATTTCATGAGGAATGGCAGCCCACCTACATCTATGCCATCAAAAAGATCCCAAGCTTCTGTGAAGGGATGGGAGGAAGCATATATGTTTAAGCAATGAGCCCTTGTATTCTGGTCCATGTATATTAGCTTAATTCAGTTGTGAAACCATGGCCCCAAACTCCCTGAAGAGTCAAAACTGATGAACCATCTAAGGGAATAGTTTTTCCTACCTAACATTTGGATCAACATTGTCTATAGAGGGCACGTAGCACAGTTTTGCTCTTCATTTAAGCCTAAGGTTAGAAAAGAGAGACACAGGTTTCTACATTGAAGTGAATGATTTTGAAATTCATGACTCAATTAAAGTGTCTTAAAAACAACCAAGTGGACATGGACTATTTTGCACTCAGTACTGTGCAGAACAAAACGCAGAGCAGACAGTCCAAGTCACTTAACATCTGTGACACTTGTGCAAAACTAATAAACCTCCAATCGACACTGGGAGAGGAGTCAAACATTTTAAGAGGAAGAATAAGCAATGGGTAGCTACAAGTTGCTCTGTAAGTACTGCACTCACACATGGGCAATCTATTTTTCGATTAGTCTGAGAGTTTGACTTCGTAAGTAGCAAGCTCTCGGATGCTGCTTTATAGACGTTTTCACACCATCCTGTCACCAGATCTGCAAAACCAGTGCTACACAAACTGACGGTAATCCCCATTCCCTGCTCTCCTGCGCTGCTGTGGGGAAGAGGTAGAGAATTTGGAATAAAATAGGAAAGCGGGAGGGTGGGGGAAGATCGTAAGAGCGGAATACCTTATTCAGAGCCATACAATAAGTACAGTATTTTCTTCAGTAAGTTGTTAAGCTTAGGCATATTTATAAAGGCATTATTTTAAGCAGTTCAGAAACATGAACACCCAGGTATTGATGTACTTATAAACTAACAGTAAATCTGCTGTTCTTAAAAGAATGGGGCAGTTTTTCACCCTTTTTAACACTGTATTTATTGCACATATTAAATCAAACCATTACCAAAATAAGTATCAAATCCTCTGCGGGTTGGAAGGCACTCTTTTCTGTACATCCCTAAATGCCACTTCCCCACCATATGAGTAACATATCCCGCCTCTTGAAGTAGCTCTGGGAGGAGTTTCTCATCCAGTGGCAGACAGCTGGGCTGGCATGGCCAAATTATCTGGTGTTGTAAACCTGTGTGGATCTAGCAGATAAAAGAAGCACGAGAGATCACTTACAATGCAGCCATGTGTTCCCATGGGTCAATTTATAACCAAGCCCAAAAGGACATACAGCTACATCAGAGGTTAACCTTAGTTTTAGGGGATCCTCTTTTTACTGACGTAGCACTGAGAAAGATGAGGAAGCTGCAGGTGGAGGGCAAGGTGGCATGGAGGAAGACAAGAAAATAGTACTGCGAGGGTTAACATCATCTTCCCAGGTATAAATCAAGTGCAATTTAAAAAATAAAACAAACACCAAAACCAAAAAAACGAACCAACACAAAACCAAACAAACCCAAAGCTTCTAATGTTTTTAGCTAAAAATCCAACAGGTAACAATTACAATTATGGTGTGTTTGAAGTCTAAGGACATCTCAATATGGAGTTAGAGATTTTAAATGAAATGGAAATGGTCAAAAAGGCACAAGACAGTTGAAGCTGTCAAGCTTTTGGCTGTATCAGAGAACAGGAAATTGTGTATCAGGAAAGTATGATAAAAGGTAAGAGAACTATTTTTCCATTACTCTTCTAAAAGGATATTATATATACACATTTTTATACTTATTTGCATACTTCAAATGAGTGTGAGTACTATAAAAAAGTATTTGAATATAGGGATGACACAAAGTTTAGATACTGCCTAAATCTGACCTTTAATAATTCCACTTAAGCTTCCAATCTTAATAAATGGTGAATTTTGTACCTCTATACAAAACCATAGCTGACAACAATACTTCAATTAGTATATTGTGCTTGATGTAAGAAAACTCTTCAGTAACTGTGTACTATAAGCTGACTTTTGTCAAATCCCCTGTCTCCTCCACAACAAAAAAAAGGCACTACCCTAAACCTAGGCCAGCAAACATATGTATACAAGTATAAATATCTTATTTACTAAATATTTCTATTAATCTGTGTGTGTCAAAGCACAAAACTCCAAGACCTCCAAGAGCACAAAACATCAGATTTTATAACTCCTCTAAGCACACCAGTGTAGCAAGCTCCATGATTAACTTCTAGAGCATCACGTTAGCAACACTCAGAAGTGACTTTTAAAATAAGCCCTGATTTTAGGCAAGTGGGCCCTTATAAAGGGCTTACTAGTTACTCATTTTCCTTGAAACAGGACGTTTCAAAAATTATAGTATAAATTTTATATATAAAATTATATTCAAACATATTTTGAAATGTTGTAGTACAGAAAATATTAGAGAAACACACACACTAACAAAGCACTTTAATTTCTCCCACTCTCTGGAAAACAAGAACAAGAAGAAGAAAGCAATAATTAAAAAAATCTACAGCTTTCTTAGACCAACACCATTGCTCTTTTTTCTTACAGATTGCAGGGTGACTATCAAAATTCCAGCTCCCAATAGGAGCAGATTTAAATTAGTTTCTCAAATCTCTAGGTAATTGTTAATCATATCAATGGGTAAAACAAAGAAAAAAAATCCCACCTATTTTCTGCATAATTATTTCCTGCACCGAATGTTTTTCTTTTTAAAATGGAATACAGCCATTTTCTAATATTTATTATAATTATATTTCTAATACTTATGATCTTATTTGTAACAAGATCAACACAAAGATCATTAAATTATCAAGATGGATGTATAGCATGAATTTAAATCCAGACTGAACTACAGCCATTTCCAGACCCACTTTTAAAATGAGATGTAGCAATGGCCCATTTCTAGGTAAGCATGTTCAGACTATGAACTGTATTTTAAATATAGTCACAATGAAGAAGTGTTTTAGGTTATTTAACAGAACAACTTAAAGAGTTGATAAAGATAATGTAAATTACTTCTTCCTATTCATTGTTATTGATTCTTGGAGTTTCTAGGAATAGGACAAATGTTGCAAGGAAAGCGTATCACCTAGATCAACCTTTCTGCAACAAGAGATAGAATCCAATCATACAGGATAGTGTTTATTTTCATTAATTTAGCGGAGTTTCTTTGGAAAATCACTACTGTTAACATGGATTTGCAGAACTTTTTGAGAGGGTAAGTTTCTGAAGCACACTTAACCCTTTAAGAGTTTCTTCCTTCTGTCTATGCTGTATGGCCATGCTTCTTTCCTTCTACTCCTGTTTTTGGCAAAATTGCAACAAGGGCAGGAAGGGGGAGAGTTATATCAGTGTTAAAAAGCCCAATCCTTATACCTGTGCAACTGGAAAAAAAAGTGGGAAAACTCATGACTGTGACTATGAAGTAGCTGGACAGCCAGCCTAAGGATCATTCTGTGTGCACTCCATGAAGGAGTGCAGAAACATCTACATCTATGGTACTGTATGGAGGAGAATGTATACAGCTTGGGATGCATTTAAACCTGCATTGGAAAAGATGCTGGAAAAACTGAACAAGTGGTGTTGATCCACTTCTGTCTACACCTCGACCGGGTGCCTGTCCAGTGGAGAAGTACCTTATGAGTCAGATGACTAGGGAAGGGATATCTTCCACTACTGGCTGCCATGCCTATTAATCCAACCTAAGCAGAGAGAGCACCTCGTCTTTCTGAAGCAGAACAAGAGAGCACCTCGGCTTTTCTGGGGCAGAACAACTTGCACTAAATCCATGTTGGTTTACTCCTGAGCTCGCAAGCCAAAGGTAAGTTAAGACTGCATATAAAAGCAGCTGGTTTCCACAGAGTAGTGGAAAACAGCTTCTTCCCAGCGTACCGGCACACGGGACACATGAAGCACAAACTACACGGAGCACTGCCAGAAGCAAGCAGGGGAGCAGCACCCACCATCCACCTGCCGACAGCGCGCGAAGCGCGGGAAGTGTGGTCAGCGGAGGGAGCCCCAGGGGCAACGGAGGGAGCCCCGGTGTTTCTCCCGCGGGGGAAACAGCTCAGCCCCGAGTGCTCGCCCTACCTGGTAGCGGCCGGAGAGCAGCTGGCTGCGGGACGGGGTGCAGAGCGGCTGGGTGTAGTAGCGCTCCAGCCGCACGCCGTCCGCGCCCAGCGCGTCCAGCCGCGGCGTGCGGATGGCAGAGCCGTGCCAGCCCACGTCGCCCCAGCCCAGGTCGTCGGCCAGCACCAGCACCAGGTGCGGGGCGGGCGGCCGGGCCGCCGCCGGGCGCGGCAGGCAGAGGGGCAAGAGGCAGAGGGGCAGGCAGAGGAGCCGGCTAAGAACCATCGCCGTTACCGCCTGCCTCGCCATCCCCGGCAGCAGGAACTGGGCCGCAGGGCCCGCCCTGGCGCCAGGGCTCCGCCCGCCGAGCGAACAGGGCGGGGAGGGGGCGGTGCCGGGGCGGGGCAGGGCCCGGACGAGCCGGGGTGGGGGGGGCAGCACGTGCTGCGGGGAAAACGGTGCGGGTTTGGGCCGGTGAGTTCTGGAGTGAGTTAAGAAAGGAAATTGTAAAGCTGTTGCTGGTGTTGGCAGAGTATCCGACTCGCTGATGCTGGCGGACCGTTCTAATTGTGACTTGCTTCAACTCTTACATTAAACACCTGTTTTAAACCACGGAGCCTTCCCCCAGGGGAACCACGTAACTATGTTCAAGCTTGTACTTCAAGTAATCTATGATTTCAAGGAAGTCAGTACAACATTATGAGAAGAGGACACAGTGCTTTCAGGTACAAGTAACTGGGCTTTTATTTCTGCCTTCATGACAGTTCATCCAGATCTAATATATACTGCCTGCAGAGTTTATCTGTGCAAAGTGAGACAGCTACAACACAGACATGGCCTTGCTGCTTGCCAATGTGTGCTACAGCGTGGGAAAAGTGAGTTGCCACCGTCACTGAAGATGCAGCTGAGCTGAGCAAGATGGAAATTATTCCTATTGGAAAAACTCAGTATCAGCTGCTCTCTTTCACACACACTCACAAACAGAGACCCGTGTGTGTCATCCCTCCCTCCTCCCCCTCGACCCCTCTGCAAAACCATAAAAATCACAGTGCTTTTTTCTTTTCATTTTGCCCATACAGATGAGGAGCCTTGATCTAGGTCTGGCTGTAAGATGGTGCTAGTGACAGTTACAGTGTAGGAAGGAAGTGAAGCAACTCAGAAGCAGAAATAGCAGCTATGTCAACAGGGCTGTCTATTTCTGCAAACCATGTAATTGCCTAAAGCAATAATGCAAACAACCACTACCTTCATTATAATTTTGATGTAAAATCTAAGACTGTGAAAGGACAGAAATAGCTATCAACTTTGATCAATTTTGTTCATCCATGGAATACACATAAATTTCAGTGTCTAGCTGAAGATCAAATAACCATATGTTTCACATTTAGCTAGAATGTTACATATGTGTATTGCCAAATTTATACAGCCATTTGGTAACAGATCACAGAACAGTCCACATTAAAAACTGGTTTTCTTGGTAAGAAAGCCAAATATTGAGTATGCTAGACTCCTGACTACTTTTTTTTTTTTATTGACTACTTTCTTTTTGATTTCTCTGTAGAAAGTTAGTTCATGCTTCTATGAATGAAGTCTAGTGGATAGGCCTATGAAGCTATCAGGCTGGGGTTTTTTAAATGCCACTGATTTGCCTGCTGGTTTGAAAAAACCAGCAATTATGAGTGATGCTAGATTTTTTTTCTACAATGAGAATATGCTATAGTCCACAGCCAGTACTGGAACAGGAAACAACAGTACTGTCCTAAAGTCAATTTTTCCTGAAGTAAATTCCAGGATTGTTGACAAGCTGGTATGTAACTATTAGTTGAATTTTCTTTATTGAGATGTGTTTCATGCTGTTCAAAAGCAGCAAAGTTCTGATTTATCTTTTTCCTCGCTCAGATCTCATGACCAGTCTCAGATGTCTCACTGTTTATTTTTCTAACTTCTTCCATGTCCTTATTACAGGTAAAGTTCCATTCAAAGCACATTCTCATGGAAACCATTTTAGTTCATTCCAAAAAATTACTTTGAAAATCTGCATAGTGCTGGTGAAATCAGAAATGGTGGATACAAATTTTGCAATAAAATTAATAATAGCTATGCACCTGTCATGTTTCCAAAGTTACCATGGTATTCAAGAGCAGCTGAACACATATTCCCTTGTGTCAAGAGTTATGTGCTGATTATCCTACTCTACCAGAACCGGATAATCTGGTTGCCTGAGCTGACAGTTAAAACATTAAATTGAACTATCTGAAACATATACTGCAGATACCACACATTCACAGTCTGTATGTTGCTGCCTGTCATATTTTCTAAGTATTTGTGTTTTATTTTATATTTTATTACTTGTTGAGGGAATTGGAATACCAATCAGAAAATACTATTTACACCAGACAGTATTCTCTTGAATCAAATGAATAAATCCTGTAAATGGTCTATGTTCAGTCTCTTGTGTTTCAGTCTTCTGAATTTGGAGTTGAATAATTTGGATGCTGTTTTGGGTCAGCGATTAATGAAGCCATTAAAGTGACACGTAAGATTACGGTATCCATGTGGACTTATCATTCCATACAAAGCACAAACATGACAGTTTTTCCATGGAAAGTTGGAGCAAAAATTCAAATGGTAATAGTAACATCTACTCTGACATGCAAATACTCTCTGGACATGGAATAATAAAGGAAAATGACAAAAAATATGTCTGAGAAAACAGCCTTTTGACATATCCTGGATCTGAGTATTTCAGAAAATTTCGTAGATGACCAACTGTCATTTTTTCACCTCATTGCAGTTGTCTCCTCTGTTAGCTAATGGGGTTGCGGAAGACTCCAGAGAAGTCCCTGTCAATCTTTCTACCTTGGTATTTCTGTTTAGTTGGTTAAAAGCCCTCTTAGAACATAGATGTACTACTTAAAACACTCTTGCTCCTATTCACTTACTCTTGCTGTACTTTGGCACCACAAGTTTAAGCAACACCATATCTCAACTTGTAATGAAAAGAAGTGACAGGAAACTACAAAAGCTACTGAACGCTTCCCCCATCTCATTTCTTCCGGTTTATCTTTTTTGTTTTTAAATAACCTTGAAAGATTGAGCTGTATATATGAATCTCTCTGTGGCCCTGATTTGTAAAACTTTGTCTTAATACTGTTTCATTTATCTGCACTGTGCAAGAAGCTGCAATGTTGAGCTATCCTGATGAATGCTCAGTAAGCTGACTTGGGTGTCAGAGGAGTAAAAAAGAAGCTAGGTCAACTAGGAAGCCCTTTTAGACATACCGCTATCACAGCTATAGTGCTTCTAATACTCAGCCATCATTGCTTAAAACTACTTCTGGCATCTCTGCTCCTGAATGCATTGTTAGACAGAAAGCACAGCCATTCTTAAGAAGTAACAGAATGCCACAAGCTCTCAGATACTCCATTTCTCTTACGCAGTCAGTGATGAACACGAAATTGTTTTAGTCTTCTAACTTGGCTGCATGAAAGAAACTTTACATTGCCTTGTCCCAGAAACATCATGACACGTTGTCTGTTTATCTAAATCCTGAAATTAAATGAAAATTAGAATAATAGAATATGCTGAGTTGGAAGGGACCCACAAGGATTGTGTCCAACTCCTGGCCCTGCAGAGGACAACCCCAAGACTCACATCATGTGCCTGAGAGCATTGTTCAAAAGCTCCTTGAACTCTTAACAAGTTTAGGCCTGTGACCATTTCCTTGGGGAGGCTGTTCCACTGCCCAAACACCCTCTGTATGAAGAACCTTTTCCTATATCTAACCTTAGCCGCCCCTGACACAGCTTCATGCTGTTCCCTCAGGTCCTGTCACTGGTCCCCACAGAGAACTGTGGTGTCTGCCTTTCCTCTTCCCCTCACAAGGAAGTTGTATCCTGCAATGAAGTCTCCCCTCAGTCTCCTCTTCTCCAGGCTGAACAGACCAAGTGATCTCAGCCACTCCTCATATGGCTTCCACTAATTGGCCAAGTCTTGATCTTGGTGAGACTTGGGTGACAACAGCTGTCAGTGAGAAACACACAAAGAAATCAGTGTCTGGACCTGTATAATACTACAGTGTACAATGAGACAGGTCTGCATCAGCTACATGGAGAAATTAGGGGTTGGGAGGTTACAGCTAGAAATGCTCATGGAGGGTACAGTTTCTGAGTTCACCTGACTATAGGAATTCTATCTGCTATTTTGCTCAGGCTGCAGAAAGCCTGTCCTTTCTGCACAGTCAGAGTGATCCAGTTGATGTGTTCATGAATAGCACTTCTTCCAAGTCAGAAAAGAAGTTACAAACCTGATTCTAACTTTTCAGACTAGGATATGTGGGCATCACTGGAAAAATTTTGGCTTAGCAAAGCTCATTAGGAAAGTCTGTTTCAGAGGGACTGTTACTGTGCACTCCAGATTGTGGTGCCTAGTGAATTTGCATAATCTTGGGAAATACTGAAATTCAAAACTATGTTCTTAAGAATTGCTCTTCTCCTCCATATTCTAAATAAAACCATAGAGCATTGTGTTGTATTTTAAATTCCTTAAATGCTCACAGAGTGACAGTGGCTAAGTGCCTCATCACAAATAATGTTGCCTTTAGAAAAAGTAACATCTCTAATTGGTTCAGCAAGATAGAACTCAGTCACTTATGAAAGTATAACATAGAATAATTTCTGAATGGTAGCTGAAGATAGTACTATATGCAAACCTGGCAAAGATTTTATTTTGACCTGCTTTTTAAAAGATATTCAGAATAGCACAATGTAATGTCAGCTAAATTATCAAGAGTAACTGTTCATTACAAAAATCATGTTTCTCCTGGTATATGCTATTTATACATTTGCTTCTTTGCTGAAGGTTCACAGGCACCAACTCCTTTGAAGAAGGTACATTTTGGATGTTATTTGTACGTACTTTGAAAATTTATCTATAGCCTAAAGGAGAGCATTACTTTCTTTCTGTAAGTTAGAAATTTTAACACTGTTATTCAAAAGAATTGTTGAGCACATTATTGAACTCAGAAGAATGTTTTATTAAGTTAGTGTGTTCTCACCATACACCAATCCTGCTTACTCGGGTTATTGAATATTTAACACTCAATAAAGCTCCTTTGCTGTCAGTTTAATTATATTTTTTCATTTTTAATATTTCTGTGTAATAATATAAGGCTCTTACTGCTGTTCAATCTATAATTAACAGTAAAAGGAAGAACTGACAATCTTCAGTGTCTGTCTAGCACTTCAGATTTCATACAGTAAATCCATTGATACAGTTCTTTAAGTTTCATTCAGAAATTGAACAATAACATCATGTGTGTTGTAGAATATTACATGTAATCTGCCAGATGATTCATGCAGAAAAATGAAGAATGGGCTTCCAATAACTACTTCATTGAGAAGAACTAGATTTTGATCTTCCATAAGAATTTCTGCCAGGTTGACACAATGAAAAAAAATGTCAACAGTTCAGTTTGCCTTTAATAACGCCTTTATTATTTTTAATGGTTAATGAAATGTATTTCAATTCCTTATGAAGCATCCTGAGAACCAGCGATACGATTTTAATGATGAGTTTGCTATTCGTGTAGTAAAGAAGCCAGAGTAAGCTACTTTACCCTGAGGGCAGGCAAAGGCGGAACTGTTGAGTGTCAAGGAGGAGGAGGAAATTGCTATTGGGCAGTATCAAGAGCACCTTTGTTGTATGCATTAATGCAGATCTGCCAGCCAGTGTCAGAGCAAGCTGAATCAATGACCTACTCATTCCTTCCACTTTCTGCTCACAAGTGCTACTGGGAAGTAAGTGCTTCTGCTCACAAATGCTACTGGTTCATCAGCTCTGCTCAGGTCTCTACTGTGAACAGCCCACACAAGGAAGTAGGAGCGTAAGACCACTGAATTTCTCACTGATGTATGGCAATGAGGATCTTGTGCTTAGTAATTAGCAAATCTCAGTAGTTCAATTCTCTTAATTTCATCCATATTAATAGCACTATTTCCTATTGCATGATTTGCTGTATACTCATCTGAGTTTATATTTTGGGACTTTCATCCTTTCTCTGAAGGCGTATTCTTGTTGGTTCAGTTAGCACCAGTGGCTCTTGTATAATGGTTGCTGGATAATTTTTACCTAAAAGTTCAACTTCCAATTTCTGTCCAACTTTGCTGAGTTCTGTGGGAACATATGCAAAAGCTAGACTCTGCTGAGCACCATAACTGAAACATCCAGATGTGGTATTGCCAATAACCTGAAAGAAATCACAAACAATTATCTTAATTTTCAAGATGCAGTGAGATTTTCCTAAGAAAAAAAAAACCCAACCAACAAGCCAAACAACTACACATCTGTCAGAGACTGGATTTGCCTGATTGACTGATTGTTTGACTGATAGGTCGAATAAACCACGTTGTCTGTTTGCGGTGGGAGATGTGAAGGCCTAGGCTCAGGCTGGAGCCAACATGGCCACGTCCATGCAGAGCACATGGCAGGAAAAGCCATGTGGCTGGGCTGCCGCCGGGTGGCCTGCCCACACCACACACGCTGGAGCCTCTGACTGGCTGTGGCACCCTCACTTTGGCTGGGGAGACAGCGAGTGGCAGTGAGCCAAAGGTCCTGCCTGGGGGAAGTGGCCACAATAGCCAGAGTCTATAAATAGACATGCACAGGGTCTCTATCTCCCCCTTGGCCTCTGCCCTCCTGACCTGTCAACACGTGACCTCCAAAGTGGTAAATATGTCTCTCTCCTCTCTCTCTTTATTCTTTCTTCTCTTAATCTCTCTTCCTTTACTCCTGTGGGCAACTTGTCTGTATTTTACTTAAGTTATGGTATTTCACTTAAGTTTGTATTTGCTGGGTATAACAAAGGTTTCCTTACTGTAGCAATGCTTGGTAGTTTCAGTAATCTGTTGTAATGCTTTTTTGAAGTCTCACGTTATTTCTGTTAAACCCTTTTTGCCAAAACCCCTATTTTCTCACCAAATTAAAATCTCTTAGAGAAAAATGTGTAATTTTTTCTCCAGACATGACCTCAAGGTACCACAGAATCAAAACACTTTGCAAGAGTTTGTGTAGGCAAAGTCTCTTGACGCCTGAAATGAAAGTTTAACACCTGGTAAAGAGTGGAGCTTCTAAACCGGGTTGTGACAACATCTCGCATTTTGGTTTATACACTTCAGACATTAAGCAAGTTTCAAGTGTGTCATGCAGTTTAGAATATTCTCGACTGAGAGTAATATCACCTGAAACTGGGAAGTTTTTGCTCCTTGACAAAATAGTCTATTCCTACTGCATTTAGTTAAATTTTCACTGGAACACACAGTATACACAGGCATATCTTTATTATCTACAACAATTTAACTGCCAGTGAGTGTTTCAACACATAATATATGCTGAAATGTGGAGGCCTGAACTTTGCTGTTGTTTCATTTCTTTTAAGTGAACAGCAAAAGTGTTGTTAGGAGAATGGTGAAATTGCTAAAGAAGAAAACGGATGAGAATCCTTTAGTCTGTTCCAACCCTAGTTTCTGTGACATGGTAACATTTCACATTTTCTCTGTAGATACTTGGTTAGCCTTTGCTTCCTGCATGAAGATTAGAAAGTCTTTATCATAGCTTCAAATTGATCTGTGCCAGTAAAATAGAAATAATGCATTTACACTTCAAACACAAAGTTAGATTCTGTTTGTGGAGAATTAATATTGATTTTTTGTAACATATAGGATCTATATTCCTTGCCTTGCCATTGTGCCACACACTTTCATTTCCCTCTGGATCAATATTATCTGTTTCCAGGGTGAGATATACCAGTCGTCGTTTGAGCCCTTTTTCTTTAATCTGCTTCAGTGCTTGCTTTCCTATAAAGTCTGCTGGCTGAAAAAAACCAGAAGATAATGATGATATATGTTTATTTGGGTTCTGCAAAAAGTTTAGAATTATAAACATTTAAATTTATCTTAATTTCTTTTCCTGTCACTTGAGTATTTTGTATGAAATATAGATGAAATCAAATCTTTGACAGATAGTATCTTGGTATTTTTATATTGGTGCATTGTATGTTGGTAATTTTATTCAGTTTATTTTTTTTCCTAGATCTCAGTACTTTAATATCAATAATTCCAACACAGTAGAAATACCCATGTAGTGAGATGTGGAACAACACTGTCTGCCCAGTTAAGGTTATAAGACAGAAAACTGCACATCATTTCAGTTTCTATGAAAAAAAGGGAATTCCAGTACCCAGATCCTAAAGTTTGGGCCTTCCTCTGTGAACACACTTCCTTTTGATGCTGTATCAACCATGACAGTAACTCGTCAGTATTTCACTTTGGTGTCTCTGCCAAGCTGCACAACAGGCAGTTTACTCCATATTCTTGTTTTAAGGTAAGTATGGTTTTTTCCCATATCTGCCATTTATGGGATAATGCTGTGTGTTAGGTAAAGAGTAATATTATTGTTTGGAGTTCCCTTTTTCAGCTTGCTTAGAAAGATACATGCAGATTTTCATATTTCTGGAAGCAGACTGCATAAATGCATGACAAGTATGGGGGCAGTCATCAACAAGTCTCTGAATCCTCAAGGGTATACAGGACAGTATTTACTGTATGTGATCATGTTGAGCTGATTCCACTAGCCTGATTATATCACAGAATCAAAGAATCATTTAGGTTGGAAAAAACGTCTAAGATCATTGAGTCCAATCTTTGAGCAATCACTACCTTGTCAACTAGACCAAGTGTCACGTCCAGTCATTTCTTGAACACCTCCAGGGATGCTGACTCCACCACCTCCCTGGGAGGTCACTTCCAATGCTTTACAATGCTTTCCGTGAAGAAATTTTTTCCTCATGTCCAATCTAAACCACATCTGGTACAGCTTGATGCCATTTCCTCTCATCCAGTCACTAGTTGCCTGGGGGCAGAAGCTGACCCACACCTGGATACAACCTCCTTTCATGTAGTTGTAGAGCGATAAGGTCTCCCCTGAGCCTCCTTTTGTCCAGGCTAAACAACCCCAGCTCCCTCAGCCACTTCTCACAGGACTTGTGCTCCAGACCCTTCATTCACCAGCTCCATTGCCCTCCTCTGGACACACTCCAGCACCTCCATGTCTTTCTTGTAGTGAGGGGCCCAGAACTGAACACCTCATTCAAGATACATCCTCAGCAGTGCTCAGTACAGGGGAACGATCACTTCCCTAGTCCTGATGGTCACACTATAGCTGCTACAGGCCAAGATGCCACTGGCCTTCTTGGCCACTTGGACACACTGCTGGCTCATGTTCAGTCACTGTCACTGTTGATTCACTGTCACTGTTGATCATCACCCCCGCGCTCTTTTCCGCTGGGCCACTTTCCAGCTACTCTTTCCCCAGCCTGTAGCACTGCCTGGGGTCATTGCGACCCAAGTGCAGGACTCGGCACTTGGTCTTACTGAACTTTGTACCACTGGCCTTCATACCACAGCTCATCAATCCAGCCTATCCAGATCCCTCTGCAGAACTTTCCTCCCTTCAGCAGACCAACACTCCCACACAGCTTAGTGTCATCCATAAACTAACTGAAGGTACACTCAATCCACTCATCCAGATCATTAATAAAGATATTAGGTAGTATCATGGCCAGGTTCACAGCTATGAGCTTATTTTGCCTACCAATAGCTGTGAACCTGATACCCCACATTTAAAGCTGAAGACTTAAATGTAACTTAAAATGGAACCCAGACAACTTAGTTGGCTAGATAGAGAATAAATTGGAAAAAGGAAAAAAGAGCTCTTATAAACACTGTGGTCCTGGACAAAATTCTTTGAGAACCAAGGGAAAGCCCATTTCAAAGATGCTGAGAATTAGGACAGAGTATAAAATAGTAATCAAGCTGGATATCATTATTTCTAATAACTGTCCGGTAAATATTAGGAACAGTGCCTTGCCAGTTCTACCTATTCATTTTTTCTTTTAAGATACAGATCAGGCAAAACAAAATAATCGTATTCAGCTAAACTGCCAGATACATACCGGTCATAGGCAAGAAACATAATAGCAGTTACAAAGTCCTCTAGCTTTCCAGCCTTTGCTGAAGAGATGACTAGCAGTGCAAGCTATTTTAAGGCAGGTTGATCTTAGGTCTGAAGCAGGAATTATATTCATTGGATAAGTGCCTTAGAGAAAAGAAATTAAATATTGTTGAAGACTTCAAAAATACTATTTCTGGTAATGTTCTTTAGAGATAATTTTGTAGAGAAGTGTTGCACTGTCAGAATTACAAGCAACACATATTATACTTGGAATAGATTATTATACAGTGAGTTCATGTGTTCTTGCAGTTCTTCATGTTCACATATGTCTGTGTGTAGGCTCACAAGAAATTATTATAAAGGAATGAAGAGTTTTTGCACTATTAAAGGTTAGGCTCTGCAAGCAGTTGTGGAAAACAGCTTATGAACCAGTTAAGGACGAGTTAGTCTGAAAATTGAGGTGAACCAACTGCAGATAAAGCAGATACTGTGCATAAGGACCACAGATGGCACTCTTTGGGGAAAGACAGCATGAAATATAGCTCAGATCAGAAAAGACTGTGAGGATTCATTTTAGAATATAACTGTCAAGAGGCTTCTGGAAAATATAAAGCTAATATCTCAGACCAGACAATATTCAGCAATTGTAGTTCCCTCTCACTTTTCTACTATGCAGAAACACCTACAACTATAGGAAACACCTACAGCTAGAAATGCAAATAAGGGTGTATACCATAGCACGACTCACAGACTAAAATGCTTTGCATAATGAAGAGAAATAACAAGGAACTAAACATTTGCTTAGCATTGAATCAGTTCTTTCCTATTCATTCCAATGTAATTTCTGGTATTTAATCACAGAGAATGTAACTTTGTAACTAAATACTAATGCCAGTCACATATGGCACCTGCACCACTAATCTACCTAAACCCTTCTTGTATGCAAACACCCAGCTCTAAGAAATTGACATAATACAAACAACTGATGAATTACCTAATTATTTTGGCTCAAAATTCCTGGCTTAGTAGGTCCTTATTACTTTAAGTGGCCCAACAAAAACACTGGGAATGACCTAGGTGTTCATTTTATACAGATAACAAAATCACTGCAGATTCTTTCTAACATGTTTCATAGCCTGCATAAATTTGTGGAATAAGTTCCTCTGTTTTATGACCCTCTGGACATCAAATGAAGTAATGATAGAATATGGTTCCACACCTAAATTTCAATTTGAATGGAACTTAGGTGGAGAAGTACATCAAATAAATATGTTATAGACATAAAAAATGGGGACTGAAAGAGAGGTGGGAAAAAAGTACCATTCCCCTATCTCAAATTCCTAATTTCTATCCATCACTCCATCCTTTTTCAGATCCCCAGGCTCCTTGGCTCTTCTTCAGTAAAGTCTCTGCTGTTTCTTCTTCTTCCTCTTCCCTTTCTTGTGTGGAGTAGAGCTGGCATGAAATACCAGGTTATGGAGTGGGATCAGTCACCAATAGTGTAGTCATTCCTCTCAGAACAGGAGATATGCAAGTTGGAGAAGTGAAGGAAGGGCAGACAATGGCAATAAGGGCGAGACACAGAAATTCTTGAAGTTCAGACTGTACTGCATCAAGTTGGAGCACTTGATCCAGACCTGGACATCAAGTGCCAGGCATTCCACCCACTGAGCCTGCTGTATACTGGATTAAGAAGCAAGAAGGTTATGATGAATCATTTGCTGTAGTCCCACAAAGTCAGTGATTGTTTTAAAGTCAGTGATTGTTTAAAAAAAACCCAAACAACAAACCAAAACCACAAACAAGAGAAAAACTCAACAAACAACTAAGAAACGGAAAACACAAACAAATAGCTACAAGTAGTTGTTTTTCTGGTTGTCCCTACTCACTGCTTGCCTCTGTGCTTCTGAAAGTGCAGGGTGTTACCAGGTCAGAATAGTAGCATTTAATGAGAGTCATTTAATGATATAAATGACTACATATGCTGCAATGGTGCAGGGACCTGGAAAGCCAGTATGTACATCTATTCTGTCACTTTCCCCACCCTCTCTCTTCACCTAGTGCTGGGTGGCATTTCTGGCCAGGGCTCTAGAGGCCCAAGGCAGGAGTGGTGATTCTGCTAGTGCTCCCTTTTTTGGAGGGTATGCTTTCTGCAATTGGGACAGTTCAAGATTCTTTTAGTTTTCTTTCTCCAACCTGCACTCATAAAATTAAAAAGAAAAAAAAAAAAAAGGCACCCTTTCCCTAAAAAGTTTATTGTTTTGTGCTTTAATACATCAGGACATAGCACCTTAGACCATAGGAACATAACGAGTTGGACTGAAACAACTGAGAACAGTTCTGGCAGAGTGGCCAGGAGAGAAACAATGACTAGAAAGAGGAGGGCATGAAACTGTAAGTCTAAATCTGCTACCAAAGGAATAAAAGGATGGAAGCACATGCTTAGAACTGCTCACTCTAGTTTCCCATGAGATAACAACTCATGTATTGATATGTTGGAGGTTAGAATAATATTCAAGGACTTTATCTTGTCATTCACCCATCTATGAGAAGCTGCTGGGTATAACACAACTTTTATGCATAATGCTTAACAAAGCAGTTACTCATGTGTCTAATAGGTGCAATATTAAAACCACCAAATATCAAAGTGAGAAAAAGAGGTAGTTCTTGTAGCCTGAGGTGCATTTTGACAATGAAATTCAGGTAGTCACTGAGTAGAGTTGGAGGAGATGACATGCAATTAGTGATAAGCAGACAGGGAAAGGAGCAAAAAACAATGGAGAAGGTTTTGCGCTGGTATTAAAAAAAAAAAAGAAAGGAAAAGCTGGTAGAGTAGGCCAAAGAAAATGTAAGAGATTCTGGATATAGAAAAATCACAGAATCACAGAATATGTTGCATTGGACGGGACCCACAAGAATCATCAAGTCCAACCTTAGCCCTGCACCGGACCATGTTCAAGAATCGCACCATGTGCCTGAGAGTATCAACCAAATGCTTCTTGAACTCTGTCAGGCTTGGTGCTGTGACCACTTCCCTGGGGAACCTGTTCCAGTGCCCAACTACCCTCTGGGTGAAGAACCCTTTTCTAATACCCAACCTAAATCTCCACTGACACAACTTCAGGCCATTCCCATGGGTCACCACAGAGAAGAGATCAGTGCCTGCCCCTCCTCTTCCACTCAAAAGGAAGTTGTAACTGCAATGAGGTCTCCCCTCAGTCTCCTCTTCTCCAGGCTGAACACACAGCTGCTTCTCATATGGCTTCCCCTCAAGGCCCTTCGTTGCCCTCCTTTGGACACTCTCTAACAGCTTAATATCTTTCTTATATTGTGGTGCCCAGAAGTGCACACAATATTCAAGGCGAGGCTGCACCAGTGCAGAGCAGAGTGGAAAATCTGGAAAGAAGCTTGGAATGCAGAACAAAGAAACTGCCCCAGTAAATAAAGAGGGCTGAGGCAAAGAAACACTGCCTCAGTAGTTTCTCCTAGTGGAAACAAACATGAATTATGAGCTAAGCAGTCGGATCCTGGCCTGTAAGAGCACACTACTGCAGAGTTCCAAAGAGTTTCCATGATCTACTGCATTTTCTTCCCAAATTGCAGTGAGCTGTTGCTGCAGAGAGCGTGACCAGGAGATGGCAGTCTTGGATACAGCAACGCAAGCACAAACAAGAGCCGACTGCGGACTCTAAGCTCCTAATGAATGTTGTCACTATTGGATTCACAAGGAAAACCCTTATGAAAGAGTTCATTTCCATGAGCAACTTAAACTGGCATGGATGTTTTTCACTGTAACATCAAGTTCTATCAGAACTTCTGGTCCATTAAGCTCAGGACAAAAATAACCAGTTTTAAGCATTCAGAGGTGAATACGCTACATTTTTGAGCACTTGAAAACCTAAGCATGTGCAAATGTGCAGAACAATATTCTCACATATGGAGCAAAAAGAAATGCAACTTTTTCTTCCTTAAAGTTATTCTGTGAAATTCCTGGTACAGAGACTGACATTAGGGGACTTTATTCAATATTTAGTAGCAGAGTGCTTATTCATGAGATGAGGCTATCTAACTTACTAAATTCAATTAAACAACCAAAAGAAAGGAACAGGTATTAAAAGAAATTTCATCACTAAAATGGACAGATATTTGTTGTGAAGTTGTGAAGACATTATATACTCTAAATTAGAAATTAATCTTGTTACTGTCCCTCCACTTTGGTTTAATTGCAGCCCATCCTGCTCATCTGTGCAAGGAAGCAACTAACACCAACATTAGAGAAAAAGAGATTATTAAGCAGAGTCTAGAGGAAACCACCTAGAATAATGCCATCTCCTCAGCCTTACTGACAAAATGAAAGTTGCCACAGAAATCCTGAGGAAATGGGTTTACTTATTGCCATGTTATAATTTACTATACCGTGAGGGGGGGGGGGGAAGTCAGCTTAAGCTTTTAAGAGTTTCTCCTATTATTAATTAAAAAAAATTACTAGTCCATGTATACCTGAGGATGATGCATACACTAAACTTTCTAAACACAGAGAACATCAGGAATTTATTAGGAAATTACATCTCTTGATATATATTCCCAGATATTTGAATACCCTCTTGTGGAAATTAAAATTCTTTTTGATCATATTACCTTCACTGGCATCTGGTTCTTCATTCGTTTTAATCTGTTTAGAAACTATTTTCATTTTCCATGACATACCACTGAAGATTCACTTATGCTGAAGTCTTTTTTTCTATTTCGTGAGCTATTTCAGCTCCATGTTGCACAGTAAGAAGCAATTAACTGAACAGTGCGTTTTGGTTTTAATTTACACAGAGATCAGCACTTTCCCCACTTGGGGGCACATGCTTTCTTCACGAAGATTATTGTTTGTGAGGAACCCAACACACCAAAATGTCAGAAGTATTTAAGTATCTGTTGTAGTTTTTATCTCGTTTGCCCTTTTTGGGTGGAAAGTTTCCTTAACCATAGGAACAGGTGAAAAAAGGGTATTGCTTGTCTTCAGTCACAGTGGCCTGTAAAGAATGCTGAGGTCTACACTATGCTAAATGTACAACAAAACCAGAGGCATGGAATTGGGACTCAAACTGCCAAGAAGCAGAGTAAATAATCTCACACTGCATTTCATACTACAAATGCTTCAAATATCTGAATAAGCTCAGGTACCTCCGAAGTGTCAACATACAGTCACAACTGCCCTCATTTGAGTCAATAAAAAAAATTGATTATTTCCTTTTTCACATTAGTTCAGCAAAACTGGCAAATGTTTTAAGCTGACACCCTGCATCTCTGCTGGAGATTCATTCCATGTCCATTTGCCTACAGTGTGAGTATCTGCTCCAAAGAACTGCTCCAACCCTGCAGAGAAGTGTGCAGAGCAATTAGAGAATCAAGTGCTTCATGCACATTAGTGCCTTCATATGTTTTGCACGGGCATCTTGGCAAGCAATGGCTTTCCCTGTTTATGGCTGCTTTCCTGCTTACACTAAAGAGGGAAAAAAAAGAAAACAAACATGTATCAAAAGGAAGTGGAAAGAAAAATGAGTAATAGTAATATTACTTTTTTATTGCACATCCCTGCAATCCTGCTAATCTCTCCTCAAGATGGAAAAATCTTTCTTTTGCAAATACAGCATAATCTTAGGATTCTGTATTTCCCTAGCATGTGTCACTTATTCTGATTAGGGCAAAATTATACTCCCCAGCGTAAACAGCTGTAACTCCACTGCATTTAGAACTGCCATTGCCACTCCTGGGAGCACCTTTCCTCAATCCTACATAGGTTGAAGAACTTTTAACAGCTGAGGAGGAAAATCACTTTCCTGGGCTTGTTGCTGTTAATCGTTGGTGAAATTGTCTCATAAAAGCATTGTTTTAGGTTTAACATGCCTCCATAATTCTTTCCTATGCAAGGTTTAACATTTGCTTTTTATTTGGAGATGTAACTTAAAGTTCTGCATTCTTTCTACCAGTTCTACAGTGCCTCCACATAACATGGCAAAAATATCAAGGACGATTTATTATCTGACTTATTACCATTTCAGGTATAAAGAGAGCATAAATAAGAACAGTTTGTCCCTGTACTACATTACATCATTGTAAAGATGAAATGTTTCACAAACATTTTTTCTTCTTGATCTCCCTTACATAAAAATGTTGGCACTTCATTTTACAGATAAAAAACGGAGGCAAAATATTAAGTTGAAAATAGCGCACCTCACTTGAAATCTCTAGGACCAGGTTTTTCACAGTAGAAACTTCCCTTCCATTGTGCAGAAAACTACTGTTTGAGTTGATGGACTAATTGATAGCAGCAGATGGCTTTAGATCTGCACAGGACATGATTTCACCAAGTTTCATGGAAAGGTCCTCTATTTGACAGAGTTTGTACCAGGAAAGAGAATTACAAGCAATTTCTGTATCTATTAGACTAGAAAAGAATTTGAATTGCCAAAATATTAATACAAGAAAGTGAGATTGCTGATAAAAGGAGATAGAATAACATCTTTTTTACTGCACATTTAAATGCAACTAGCTCCATTCTATAAACTTCAAATCCGGTGGGAAAAAGTTATGAGCAGAGGACCTCTTCAGAAGTTCTATGAACAACTAATTTTTTTTTAACCAAAATATTATTTTAGATTATATTTAACTTATTACTGTCAGTTGTCAATCAGCATTTCTAAAAAATATATTTGTTTTTCAATAATTGTTGTACTAGAGCGGTAGCCAGGGAAAACGATCCTAGAGGCATCTGCTTTAACAAGAATAAGCAGGTAAAACATTTTCAAAATATGAACAGGTTTGTTCAACTTGTATATATATACTATATGTTTACAAAAGTATATGACTAAAGTTTCTCTCTGAAAATAAATCACAAAGAATTATTTTTCATGTCAAAAACATTTAGTATTTGCAACATAATTATGTTAGAAAAAGACATGGGAAAATTTTTTTTTAAACAAGTTGGTACTTATAAAGTGATTATCCTTATAATTATAGTTGCACGGTTCAGTTTCTAAACCCATTTTGTTTTCCAGATAATGACATTTTTAATGTTCAAACACTTAAAAGAATAACCCTGGACATAATAGAACACATTGAAAGTAATAAGACATACCTTGTTTAGCTTTACAAAATGTTCCAGTCCAGCTTCCAAGGGATTAGTGTCACAGTTCATCTGTTAAAAGATATAAATTCACGATCCAGCAATGAGGGTCCATCATAGCTTTTGGGCTGGTGGGCTTATTTTTTCTTTCTGTGCATACTTCTATCTACTCTTGTGTCAATGTCTTCCATATTGCATACTTACAACTTCCATTTGAATACACTGAAAGCTTCCAATATGTAATTTAAACAGTGTATCTACTATAGTGCCTAATATATAGATATGTAAATCAGTCATCTAATTTCAATATGCAAAGTAAACACATTTCAGTAAGAAACAGGATTTTTCATCAAAGGAGATTGGAATTTGCAGAAGACTGAATAACTGAGGTATGCACACCTTTTACAACACAGCAGAATGTCTTAGCTGGAGAGGAAAATAAAACACAGCCAATTTCATTCACCACCTTCCCCTTTGGTGCAGGGGGAATAATTTGTTCGGCAGCATTTGAAGAAAGAATGAAAATAATTATCACAGGGCAAACAGAAAGGACCCCTACATGCCTGCCATTTTACCTTCTTGAGTTCTTTCATTTCAAAAGGAATTAGGAAAAATTTCAGGTAAGCGGAAATTATACTGACCTTCCCCAAATTCTCTAGACCCCCTGAGTAGTTCTTTATTGTGAGTGAGTAAATTCTGCAGAAACAAGCTAATGGGAAATGAAAAAGTTCCAAAGACATTATGAAGCAAGAATAATTGGCCTCTCAGGACACAGTTATTACAGAAATAAAATGTTTTCAGAATCTGTCAGCCAAACTTTTGATTTTAAAACACCAGAGCTCAGCAAAACCCTCATAATTTTGTTATACGCAAGAGGGAAAACCATACATGAATAGAAATAAGTGTTTCTTTGCCAGCATTGCAATGGAGTACACTAGTTATTTTTATTTAGAAATCACCAGTCAGAATTATAGCAGCTTTTCCTGCTCAAAGTAAATTTTCTTTTCAAGCGAAATGGAGAAACTGGTACAAATATGCTAACTCTGACTAAAAGCTATACAGTCATAACTAAATAAAAATAAATTAAAAAAACCCCAACAAACATACTACCCCCCCTCCTCCTCACCAAAAACCTCAGAAGGAATAGTAAAGAAGATTTTCTGACCTCTGCCCCCCAGGCTCGGAAACCCTTTTCCAGCCTTAAAGCATTCAGAGCATATGTTCCAAAGTCATCAATTCCCTCTTTCTGGCCAGCTTCCATGATTGCACTGTAAAGAGCTACAGAATCTTCTTTTCTATGATACAGCTCCCAGCCCAATTCACCTGTTATACAAAAAAGATTAATGGTTTCATCTACTCAATGAAATGATCCTAATAAATACACTCCTGTTCTTGATGAAAAGTGGGGATCAATGCTGTAAGTGCTAATTCACACTCTAGGGTCAATTCTCCTAACATATAGCAAGTCTCATTCCCTGCAAGAACCACCAGAGGATTTGAGCCCTCTGTATTAAGCAGAGGACTTACTTAAATTAGAATAATTTCCATTATTCTAATTTAAACTGTTAACTGAAAACTGTGGGTAAGGAAAAATCAGAATAACTGATAAGGAAAGGTCATGTAATGAAGTTACAATGATAAATTAAGTTTAAGGGCATTAAAACCAGATGATGACTTGGCGAGTGAATAGCAAATGTAACTGAGTGTAAATAAGAATCAGTGCATTGTATCATATTTAGCACAATAGAAAGAGAATATGAATTACAAGGACTTCAGCTGCTTCAGAATGCTCTGAATTCAATGTATTACACTAGAGATGGATGTAAAAAGAAATAAAAATAAAAAGTAACTGAAAAAAAACAAAAACTAAGCACTACAGCATTACATTTTCAAAGCACATGACAAACACTAATATACAGTAATCCAAAAACAATTCTTGACGTTGGTTTTGCAGCAAATACCACAGAGGTTATCAGAACTGGCCTTTTGTTCTGCAAAATAAATATTTACACTATAGGGTATTTCTAGAAAAAAGGGTCTTGGAAAAACTCAGCACAGACCCTGACCATATCACATTTGGAAATCAATGTACTGTAATTCCTCCCACATTTATATGTAAAATATAATGAACCTACTTCTTAAGAATACATGATGAGACTTATTTTTCAACATTATTTTAGTGACATTTATTATTTTATTAATTGTCTTTTTCCTTAAGTGCATGTTTTTTCTATTGCTTACCTGTGTATGATATCCTAATAGCAATAACAGCAATATTGGAAAGTTTCAGATGTTTACACTGGAGAAACTTAAAGGAAGCATGACTCAGATCCTCATTTGTCAACTTCTGGAGGACTTCTCGTGCATATGGACCAGCTACACCAAGTACCCCCATCTCATCTGTCATGTTTTCTATTTCAACTTTGTATCCACCTGTTGTTACTTTCTCTTCTATCCATCTGCACATAAAACACAACACTGATGTTACACTTCTTATGAAAAATAACTGATTTAGATAAGATTTTAATAGGAGTAACTTTTTTTAGTGTTCATCTCCCCAGCAGCTCCCAGTGCCACACCTTCTCATAACCAACAAAACTATGTGCTACATTAGATAGTCAAATCCATCATTGATGTTAAACACTGTTTTCTCATGAAACACTGGTACAGCAACACAGGCATCTGAGATACAGCCAGGAAAGAAGAGAATTTAAATGGGTGGAACAGTATATTCAAGATAAGAGAAAGAAATGATCTCATACAATGCCAATGGATTTGGCTTTGGATCCACAATGTGTTAGTAAAAAGTCAACCTACAAAAAGAGTAAGCAATAAGCACAATAAACATAAGAAATCTTCAAATAAATTTCTGTGACAACAAAAATGTACAAGACTTGTTCCATTCTGAATGTAGTAGCTAAAGTATTGGCAGGAATTTCAGTTTGGATTTAATAAAAAACAACAACTGAAAATTGTCTTTCAGGAAGCTCAGAAAATAAATAAAATTAGTATATTTAAAAATCTTATTAAGCACTAGACTGTTCTGCAGTGTTACCAGATCGCTGTCATAGGGGAGTACCAAACAGGACTTCAGAAATCTGTAGAATTAAATACATTAGACCTGACTCTGCTGTTTGGTTCCTGAATGTGCCAGTAATCCTACTGATTCCTCTGGGACTGTTATTAAACAGTACTCAAGATTAGTATACTAAATGGCATTCAAAAATACTTTGTATTCTTCGAATGTTAGGGTAGCAAGTTTCAGTCTTTTAGGCATTGATTAATTTTGATTAACTGCTTTGCCAGCAACCTCCAGTAAGAACAGCACTAGAAATGTCAATTCCAATGCTCATCTATGAAAACTAATTTATTAAGTCATCCTGCAACTGCTTCTACTTCCTTTCTTTTTGTTGTTTCACTTTGTGACCCCAAAGCCCAAGGCAGAAGACATTACCACAATCACGAAGACTACACTACCTATCTCTATGGGCCAGGTCAGTGCCTCTGGGGTCATTCGTGTTTAAAGCCAATTTTTTTTTTTTGCGTAAGAGAACAGACTAGAAAGGAACAACTGTGCTATGTTACATCATACAATGCCAAACACAAGGTCCAACAACAAAACAATAACTACCTCCGATAACATATATTACATAACTGTCAGTAAGTTCTCCATCTTTTTACATCAGCAATAATCCACTGCTTATACTTCAGGATTTAAGTCAACCAAGTTTCTAAGAAACTAAATTCAATAAAGAGTATAGCTCTCATGAACTTTGTGAAAAACTTGTTATGTACTTACTAAGAGTTTGGAACTTAGTAAAAATGTTTCTATATTAATATAACTGTATAGCACTATGTACTTACTGCATAAAAAATGAACTAACCTCAGATCATGGAGTTCTGACCCTGACCCAGTTACAAGCATGAATTCTCCAGGATACAGTTGAGAAACGGTTAGCTCAGCATAAACTTTTCCTCTTGGCGTTAACATATGGCTTATATTTGTGGAACCCACCTATAGAGTAAAATTTGCAATTATTAAGAAAGCAACATAAAACCTTTCAATTCTTAAACATCATTAAATATATGGTTATATGTCTTCATCTGAAAAAACAACTTTTTTCATGTTTGCTCTGCTGTGCCATAATAGGAGTGGAGAGATACACAACTGGCCAAGCTTAAGCTATGCAGTGGAAACTACATATTTTTTTAAGAACGGAAATGTTTAAAATAAGATAAATCAAGACCTTTATAAATATTTGTTAATTATGCATTACACAAGGCATTCTTATGCTACATTTGTTTTAAGAATGCATTTTAAATGCAAATTCAGTCAACTTTAGTTTGTTCTCTCATCATTTGAATAAAAAATTCTACATGTTATTGATATTTTTTCAATCGTGTGAATAAGTCTTTCAGATCCCAAAAGAATAACATATGCTTTGCCCCTTACTTTAAAGAAGGAAATACCGAGTTGGCTTATGTTTTTGTGGCCCTGATTTATGTATGCTTTTATATTATTTGTAGTTGCTGACTATGAATCTACATCTCTGTACATTTGAATCAGGTTCTGTTTAGAAACTTGATTTCTAGAGGCAAAATTCAAATAACAGTTACTTAGCTGTGCCCACAAAACACATACATGTTCATACATATATCATCCATATAAATAGAAATATGAATATGCTGTAGCTGTTGTGCTGGTCTGGTTCCAGAGGTAGAATTTAATCTCTCTTATTTCATTCTCCTTTCACAGAAACTTGTCAGCCACCTAGTCAGTGCCCAGATTCCGTACAATGAATGGAGAAAGGAAAAATATTGCAGATATTAAGATTCTTTTGCAAGGTCACATTACATTAATATAGTTACTGACATATTATCAGGCATTTAGTTGAATTTTAGGACTTGATGCTACTCACATGTAAGGGGGGTACTTTTGAATTAGATGATCAATGGAGCATAGAGGCGTGAGAAAGGAATCATATTAGGATGTGAAACCAGCTGGAGTATGGTGCAATGTAACTTCATGGCACAAGCTAATTGTAAGGTCCATTGTGCTTTTTAGCAAGTCAGCTTGATATCCCCTATTGTCAGAGCTGAGTTCTTCCTTGGTTTTGCTACACATTGCAGGATAGATACATCTACCCTTGAAACACAATGGTAGAGGTCATACATAGGGGTGAGAAAGACGATGATGGGAGGAAGATTATGTGGGCAGGGGTCGCTCGCCCCTTGCCCTACAAGTAGGGCACGCGCAGACTGTTGCCATGAGGTAATGATTAGCTGGTGTTTGGCTGCCATTCAGGCATCACCTTATACTGTGTACTGGCCCTACGTGGTATAATGTGGAACTGATAAAAATGGGGTGTCAGAGCTGCTGAGCTGAGCGATCCTCATCCTACCACCGAGACTGTGTTGCTCCGCGGGGACGCCCGCTAAGCACGGGCACCGACCAGCTGCTGCAGATCCTGACAGCCCTGGCCTGTCTGTGTGGGCAAGCACAGTTTATTGATAGGAAGCAACTGAGAGAACAAACTTTTTTAATATCCCTTTAGTGTCCCTTTAATTCCTCTTTTATGTTCATTGTATTTTTCCTTTAATTTCCCTTTTTACTAACCAATATCGTATTAATAGTTATCCATAATATTGTGTTAAGATCCCTTTTTGGTATCCCTTTAAACTCCCTTTTTACTAGTTAATATCGTATTATAAATGCTGTTCATAGTATTTGTTTTTAAGGCCACACAATAAGGTAGTTATTTTGTATCCTTTTTTAGCTTTTGATTCTCTTTGCTAAGTTTATTATTATTATTATTCTCACTGTAATAAAAGATATTTTGCATGTTTGAATATTTCTGTCACTTGTCTTTATTCCGGACATGTATCCAAACGAACTGTTACACCACACCCAACCTGGGTGTGATACAAATATATCTCCAGTAACTCCACTGGATTATTTTATGATGCAGACAAGCATGAAGGGTACTAAAAATCAGCAGCTTAAAAAAAATTAACCAACTGTTGTGAATGTTGGATTTTTAAATGGACTCACGAACTGTACCTTCTGCTTTGCCATCTAGTTTTCTTTTTCCTCTTAGCAGTGCTGATTAAACTTCATAGACAGCACTTGATTTGTTCTCATAATTTCCTCTTTAATCTTGATTTCCCTCCACCATATAAATATACTCAGCAAGTGTTATCAATGCCCACTGATGACACAGTTACCCTACCTCTACCCCAAATTAGACAGAAGACAAACTTTCAAACTTTTGTTATCACAGAATGAATACAGTAAAAAAGTATGACTACATGGCAATTCAGGTTCTTCTTTCTCCTAAGATACCAATCTCATGCACATCCTTTCCATTCAGTTGACTCTGACCTTTGAGAAGAGCTTATATACCTTCATAGCTATAGTCTCAGTGTACTTACCGTTTGCCTATGCTTCCTCCCTTTGGTGTTTGAAGCACTAAAAACCATCACCTACTGCAAATACTTAATGAAATTCTGTGCTGAAATGACCAAACCCCAAGTCTATAGCAATTCAGAAAGGAGCAATCTGCTTGCTGGAGCTGTATCTTTAAAGTTAAAGACACTACATGAGACTGGTTGACAAAGCAGAAAGACAAAATGACTCATGGAGCACTACGAAAAATTGACCACCAAGAATAAGAAACCTGGGGTAGTTTGTCACAGCGTGCCTTTTTTTAGCGCAGAAACACACAGTGACGATCTATGAACAGCCACACTTGTGAAGAAAGGACAGGTGTGAGGTGAGTGCTGAATCTCCTGCATATTTGCAGCCCTGCCTGCACTAGGCAGCCAGCTCTAAAACAGTCAGTATGAGGAGGAGCGTTTGAAAAAAAAAAACCTACAACAAAGCTGTTCATTTTGGAATTCAGAAAGAATACAACATCTAGCTATGACCACGCAAGAACACCTTCCCCTGCTCTGCTCTGTGCCTGAAGCTGCCACAGTACACCACAGTTTTAGGCAGGCAGCTGCCAAGCTATTCTATTGTAAAAAAATTCCAGGTGAGATTCACTTGCTTGTTTTAGATAAAGATTTGAAACACAGGAGGCTCTGTCTGAACATAAGAAAACATTCTTTTCCTCTAAAGATGTCTGAACACAGGAACCAGTTGCCCAGAGAGCTGGTGGAGTTGCCATCCTTGGAGATACTCAAGCCATACTTCAAAAGCCATTTGAACACAGTCCTAGGCAATAAGCTCCAGGTGATCTGCTTTAACAGGGGGTTGGACAAGTTGACATCCAGAGGTCCCTTCCAACATCAGCCATTCTGATTCAATGATCAGTGCCAAAATGTACTTCTACTTGGGGCTGCTCTAGTATAAACTTCACTGTTTGTGCTCTTAAACAAATGCAACACATCTGACACAAATTATGCAATGATATTATGTTTCATTTTCCATGTCTGAAACAGAGGTTGTCTGTCTAAATCCTACGTTACAACAGTTATCACTGTCCCACTTACCTTTGGAACAGCATTTGCAAATAGATGATCCAGCAGCTTAACAGAATCTGTGCCTTTTACTCTAAACTTGCCAAATGGCGACAGGTCAATCACACCAACTTTTTCCATGACCTGTTTATACTCACGACCCACAGGGTCAAACCAATTTGTGCGCCGAAAGCTGGGTCTGAAACAGAGCAGTTAGACACATTAAATACAATCTTAAAATTTTGTGCTCTTTTCAGCAAAACGTAGTCTTCAGTTTCTCCAGTTTAATAATCATCCAAAAGAGACAGACTTTCCTAATTGTAGGCAGCTTACCCAATATTTTCTTTAGTCTAACATAGCTTAATAATTAAAATCCTTTAACATTTATTTAAGTTTAAGGTGTCAAAGGCTTTATTTCTGAACAGCCAAGTGTGTCTCTTTATTCCTTTATGAGCCTCATTTAGATTGGGACTCCAGTATCCCTGTGGAAAATATTTCTTTGCTGGAAGCTCCCTGATGCAGGCAAGTAACTAGGTGGGCAATCACATAGGAGTAAAGAAAAAAAAAAAAAGAAAAGAAGATCAGGCTTCTCTGTTCCAGACAACTAGAGAGAAATGAGCTTTTTCATGAAAACATTATACTGTGCTGCTGATCAAATAATGAGAAATGGACAAAAATACAGTTTTATAATGAACAAGTTGTTTTCCAAGCTCCAGCTTGAGCTAGGTTGCTCGCTGCTATGCCAAACCTAGAACAGTTACAGGATACCTCGATGTGTGTTTCGAAATGTCTGCATTATCTGCATAACATGTATTCTAAACTATGGAAAAAGCAAGAATAGAAGATCTATCTAATATATAGATCTGTAGCTGAAATGAATGATAAATGTATGCTTCTCATTAAATTTAACTAGACTGACTTTTGCTATCATGACAATTTCTCCGGGAAGGAAAAAAAATAATCTTTCATTTACTTGTATCCAGTCTCATCTCCAGGTTTGTAGAACCAATGAGGTTGCTCCCATCCTGCATGAAAGCCCATTGAACATCTTGACTTTAGCAAATGATATAGCCCACTGATTCTCTCTGTTGGTCTCCCAGCAAATCTTTCTTCTTTAGGGTAACCAACTAGAGGGGAAAAGAAAAAAACAAACAAAAAAACCCTCAAAAGCCATGGCATGCTAAGATCATCAGCAGCACAGAAAACATGTATATAAACAGAGAAATCTAGAGGCAGGCTTTGTTGGAATCCATCTTCAGGACATAAATGTATTTAATAAATACCTTCTTACCAATGTTATTAAAACCGTAAGATTCTCTTGCTTTAGCTGCTGTGTATTCTGTGGTGGTCCACTTTCCGTAGCGGTTCGGATCTAATTCTATCAGGTCAAATGGAGGTTCCCCCTCAAGGATCCAGTCACTGAGGTACTTTCCTATGCCACCAGCATGTATAATGCCATACCTTGAAAACAGGAAAAAGTCCTGCCGTGCCAAGTCTTTCATGTTTTGTTTCTTAAAATCAGTACGAAAATATACTACTAACACATACTGCAAACACACACTCTAAAGTAATTTACATTTTTCACTTTTTTCATTTGTTCTGTTTTGTCTTGTTTTCCGAGATTACATACTTATATTAACAGATATTTCTACTGCTCCATTGTCAGCAGCAGAATGTCCTCACAAATGTACAGCGGCTTCAGTGTGTGAGATTACAGCAAAAGCTCTTTCTTTAAAATTCATAATTCAATCATCTTTTCCAGGGAATTAACACTCTTAAACAATTAATACTAAAGAAAGTTTTCAAACTTCTGATGTCCATTAAATACACTTCCTAGTCATAGAATACCTCTTCTGTTTCAATCAGGTTTGATTAAACCAGACTCAGATTTGAAATCCATACTGAGACATTCTAGCAGCTCCAATGAGTATTTACATTCCAATGACAAGAGCAACAGCAGCAAAAGTCAGAAGATGACACTGCAGAGATTGCTTTAAGGAATTTGAAATTCCAACAGTACTTTTTAAATTGCTCCACAGAAAATCAGAGAATGTAGAGGAACTGGGGACAAAAACAGAAGACTTGTTTGCAACGGTGCCAGAGATTGAGAAACACATTTTCTCACCTGATCTACCTTCTCTGTTCTTAACCACAACTACAAAGAGAACTGGTTCCAGAAAGCTTATGCTAATAAAATAAACATGTAGAAATTTCTGCTAACAATCTGTAGCAAAAGCCTGTCCAGTTTCTACATTAGTATGTGACGAATCAGACTGTAGACAAAATATCTTGTCAGAAACCTACATTAAAGGAACCACTCTAGACAGCAAAGGTAGATGTTTAAAATTTATAAAGTGACAGATTTTAGGTTTCTGTATTTAAACATTTTGTACATAATTCTAACTATCGGAATGCTTGATATCTTGACATCCATAGGGAAAAACGTGTGAAACTTTCTCCTGCAAGGTTACAGAAAACTGGGGACACAAACTTTGTTGTGCTGCAATATGTGCATGTTGCTTCTCAGTCTGTGTATGATCAAACAGTACCTCTGATTTGACACTGAAACGTTTAATGACAAATAATCATTAATACCGAATGATTTAAAACTTTTTGGAATACCTCTGTTGAATTAGTTTGCCATGTCTGAAAAAAATTGTCAAAATATCTTTCTGCCTAGGCAAGATGTGAAAATAAATTCCTAGTTAGTTGTGAAATGTTCCCATAAGCACAACTGAAAAATCCTTGGAAAAAAAGTAAGTCTGTTCAAAACCAAGTTTAGATTAACACGCAGCAATTAAATCACAGACACTGATGCAGAATAGAGAAGCTAAAATAAACTTCAGTTGCTGCTCATCAACTTTACATTCTGAAGTCTATCCCCTCCATTAAAATAGGTAAGGATCTTATAAAAAAAACCAAACTAAGAAATCATTTCATTCTAATGCATATGCATAAGAAGTGTGAATCCATAATATCAATAACATTACTTTGAAATAGTGGGTCTTAATAAATAAAAGAGAAATAACAAACTGAGTACATGAGGTAATTCTGCTAAACACATCCTGTTAGGAAGTTCAGCAAAAATCTTCAGACTCAGCACAAGCTTCTGTAACCACAGCTGATGCAGTAAGGATGACTGCTTGTAAACTGCCACTTTGCAAGTGTTTCTGGTGTTAATACAATTAAACAACTCTTAATTATTCATGGGTATAAGCTTTATGAGCATGGCTATGATGCCTTTGAGTACAGCTCTAGTCTTAGCCAGTTTAAGCCTCCCTGCAACCATTCACTGCAGCCAAAAGCAGAGGGGAACAACAGCAAAGAGACCACTGCACGATTGTGAGTGCTGACAGACCAAATACAATGAAGGCTTTTAGCTTCAGCTGAAGACTGCTGAGCTGATGGCAGGGTAACCTCAGGAGCAAGATAGCGCAGGGGAGACTGCCCTGCTACTACAGGTACAGCCCTGCACCTGGGCTGGGTGGTCTCTGCACTCTACAGAGCTTTGCAGCGCTGACTCTGCGCAACCCATTGATTTTGGTTTGATTTTAGATTACACAGGATGCCCAAATCCCTTGTTACCTCAGATAATAGGGAGCTGATTGTATTAATACATCCACTGCAATTGTTCTGCACAAAAATGAAATGTGTTGTTCAGGGGTAGGACGTTACAAGTAGCTGTGAAGAGTGGTACAGTGTAGTAATCTCAGTCTTCATATGATTTAGAGCAAATTTCCTTAATGAACACAGACTGTCCTTCTCTGGTTTTTCCTCTCTCCCGACAGATTATTTCCCCATTGTTCCTGTCACATTCTTGTGTCTTACTTATGAGTTCCTTGCTTCTCACCCGTTTCCAACTCATTCCATTCCTTTTCCTAGGAAATCTGAGTCTGCACACCATGGTCCCCTTTATAATGGCTTTGTCCCAGGTTATGGAATGGCTACACTGCTTTGAATTAAATTTTTCTGATTAAAATCCTAGCCTAATCTTGTAAACATTTTCAAAGTTGTAAGTAAATAAAAATGGGAAGCATTGAGCAACCTTAATAATAAATAGTGCTACACAATCTGCTAACTATACTTAACTTCTTTGCATGTTAAAATGCCTAGCAAGCTGCTAATTTTAGATAATAAAAATCCCCTAATCTAACAGCACTAAGTCCTCTGTCACAATGTCCCTGCTAGTTAACTGTGAGATAAGGATTTGCTAATGCACACAAAAAGTTACAACACTGATAGAAACACTGCAGTGACCCAGAAGCACAGAACAGAGAGTCAAAAGTCCCTGAAAAGCAGACAAAGCAATCCAGTGATAGCCACGTAATTGTGAGCTGTGTACTAAACATTTAGAGATTAATCAAACTCCTGAAATAAGTTGTTTAAAGAAATTTAACCATGTAACACTAGTCTTCAGTTTTTCATATAAAGAACTTTGATTCTGCTTCCATTAACACCAATGAATTAAAACACGCTCCAAAGTCTGGCCACAGAGTAATGAACTTAAATAGTCTTTTTGGTGAACAAGGTCTAGGCAAACCGCTTTTGTAACTGTAAGTTCTGCAAATGTTACTGAAAGATAACATTATTTTTTTTTAAATCCAAGCAGCAAAGGTGAATACCTTTCACAATGAATCATTGCAAAATTACCAAGCCTTTTTATTTTGAGGACCTCAGAAAGCATGTTAGTGATACTGCCTTATCTTATGATCTGAGGGTTTGTTTGCTTTGGAATGAAAGAAAACTGGAAAAAGCTGAGCTGGATTTTGAACAGCAAATTAGGCAATTCGAAAAACAATGTAAACAGAATGTATTCAATAACAGGCACCTGGAATTGTAATCGGTTCATTCTATCCATCTTGACTCAATGGTCAGACTAAGATAATTAAAGAGATGTCAGTGAGTGTTTTACCACTGACTCCAGTGCAGCCGTAATAAATAAGATGTAAATCACATTCAAGGAAAATGTCATAATGAGTGAGAGAATGACACCAGTAAACCACTTGTTTCTATTTTTGCACTGTCCTCTTCGTTTGCTTTCTTCCAATACCCAGCAATGTAATTTTTCAGTTCAACTTTCACAGTCAGAAACATGACTGGGTTTGTATTCCTTCAGCAGCCAGTCACACGGTATGCTGGTCTTCTGGTTAGTATACCTTCAGTTTTTTACCCAAAAATTAATACTTCACATTAAAAGCATCACAGATATTTGCCTCCAGATTAAAAGGAGGAAACAAATTTAAAAAATAGTTTGAGTTATGAAGAAGAAGTAAGAGAGAAGGATGAGCTTACACTATAGAGATTGTGGTAATTAAGACTATTTCAAATTACATTTTACGCAAAATATGTGCAAAACAATGGCCAAATCCATAAAAATGTACAAAGGTTGAGTTGACCGCCATTTTTACAATAGGACAGACAAACAAAAGTTGTTACAAAGAACTTACCCGAAACCAATAGCTACCCAGTAATTTCTGACACCCTGATGTGGTCCCACCATAGGAAGAATGTCTGGAGAATAGGTGATAGGACCTGCAATTGTGTTTACGATGTCTGCTTTTCTCAAAACGGGGACCATTTCCATAGCAGCCTCAATATGCTCCATTATTCTGTCTAAATCAGACTCGAAAAGTTCTTTTCCAAAACCTGCACAAATATTTGACTCTTATTATATACTTACTTACACTAAAAACACATACATTTTAAATACAGCTATGCAATCTCTCTATATGAGAGTTACATGGAATTAAGCAGTGTGTATGTTCAAGCCTTTGCCACCCTACACAAGAAACAGTGTGCAAAAAACCCTAGTTACCTACAACATCGAGTTTATTTGTCACTGCAGTTATAGTATCCTTTATACATATTTGTTTAACCCTAAGGTCATGCAAATTCAACAGTTTAATAGAAAGGAAGTGAAGGAACACAGAAACTTTCTTCTACATTATTAACACGCAATTATTTTTCTCAATATACCAATAATTTGAGAGGGGAAGAAACATGCTTCCTGTATATACTTATCATTTCCATTAAATCATGTGAATTATTTCACTCCTCAGTCAGGGCTCTAAGCAACACTGATTGCTCTTTCTTAGGAAACATGCATTTTTTTAAAACAGCAATACTATTGACTTAGTATAACTTTTTGTCTGGAAGTGAAGGAAAAGCTGGAGTCTAGATATAACACAGCAATTTATAATTTTTTTTTTAGTAAGCAGCTGTATGACATTGGATATTTTTGTATTCTATACAAACGTACAGCTCTCTTGCACTTATGTCCAAGCACAGCATTTTGTCTAAGACATGTCTTTGCTGTTTCTATTTGACAGTTACATTGTCCTGCAGGAACAGCAGAAATCCAGAGCTCCCGTCAGTATGCTGAAGAGAACTGTAACTAAGAAAAATCCCTATTCATTCAAAAAAGGCTACATAATGCAGATTTGGTGACTGCATCTAATCACAAAGCACAGCCACCTCTTCAGAAAGTAGGCTAAGATTATGTTGTAGATGTGTATGTTGTGCCTATTTCAAGCAGGCTTTTCTTATGTCACATTTGTATTTCTCTTATTTCATTATTAGAGTTACAATTATTCTTTGAAAAAAGTTTCTGAATTACAATCATGCATTGCAAATATTTTGTATTTTCCATCACCATAACAGCCTGGGATTTATACACATTGAAATGTGTGCTAGTGCTCATCATGTTTAAAGTTTTAATGTTCTTAGTTACCTGGTGGGACTCCATTTGTTACCCATGAATCCTGCAGCTTCATTTTCTCCTCGCTTTCATATGGACCAAATAAAAGACCATCTCTTTCTTGCCTTAGATAATATGATCCTTCTAAGTCACGAATCACAGGCAATTCTGTTTTTAGGGCTTTCACTTCAGGGATAGTTGATGTCACAACATACTGATGATGAACAGGTATGAGAGGGTGTGGTAGGTCAATCATCTTGCCTATATCACGTGCCCAGAAGCCTAGAGAAGAAAAAAAAAAAAAAACAAAACCAACATTCAAACACTAATTTAAGTGAATAGACAGTAAAATATTTGCAGGAAACACTGTGCTTTTATATGTGACATTTTTTTCCCCATACTTCTAATATTCACATTATTTTTCATATTATCCAGCATATTTTCCCTCCATAATTCCATGTCCTTTTTCCTAATTATACTATATATTATTATAGTATACACATACTAAAAAAATATATAATTGGTAAATTATAAATCAGGTTTAAATTAACAGTTGCACAAACCTCTTGGTTTATTTCAGTAAAGTAGGTCTCCAGTATACTCCTAGCAAAGTCAGAGACACTTAAAAAACAGAATACATTAGCTTACGCCACAGGTGTTAACCTAGCCTCTTACAATCAACCAAAGGAGTTTGTATGCTTTCCCAAGACAGCAGTCAAGTCCTAACACCCCAAAAGAGCAAGGAAGTACTTTCAGACAGCCAACCTCAAGAACTGGAGTTTCTTTCCTCTTTCACATGCATCACGTGACTCATGTTAATTATGTCTCTCACACAGCAATCAATTCATTATAATGTTCACATCAGAAGTTCTGATACAGATTGTGACCAGAAAATGCAAGCAACAATTTCCCTGCTTCTGAAACTGGCTCAAGATCCTTCACATATACCATGAGGCGTAAGTTAAAGAAGACTTAATTCTTCTCTGTTAAGGTTAAGCTGGTAAGACACATTCACTTAGAGAGATAGTTGTGGCAAAGTCAAGGAGTGGAAAACACTTAATTGCCAAACTTATTAATTTTGGCTCTGCATCATGGCTTACATCTGCTGTGAGGCTGGAACATAACAGTATTGGGAATTGGACAAGCACATTTGACTGGAATGGCGGCTGCTCTAAGAAGCTTTGAATATCCCTCAGCCCCATTCTCCTGACTCTTTAGATCAGGGAGCAGAGGTCTCAGGAGTGGGAATGAAGGGGGAAAATTGGATGAAATAGGAGCTTCAGGGGAATCTGGGAGTGAGCGCTGGGAAGGGCAAAATGAAAGAGGAAAGAAAGGTAGCAGGGCCTTCCAAATAAAAGGTTATGTGCCATATGGCACCCAGAAAATGAAGGTAGGTCAGCCTAGTTCTTGTGCAACCAGCTGACTCCAAACTGTTTATGACAAACTATCTCTAGCAAGATTTGCTACCTAACACAGCTACCCCTTCTCCTGGGACATACACTTCACGTTGCCCAGCTTAATACGCAACTTTTCTTCCTTTTTGCTGATTACTTGTCTTAACTAAACATTCCTACCTCTCTCTTCAATTCCAAGACTTCCATTCCACACCCCCCAAGATCTGGTCAAAGTTTCTCAGGGCCCTGAGGGCAGCAAAAGGCATAAATGATCCTGAACAGCCTCACCTGGGACTTCTATCCCCACTCCTGCCTATGGACACAGGTCAGTTGTGTCATTCCAGGTCAGCTCAGGTCCTTCAGAACCTGTCTGAGCTGGTTTGATTGTAGGTGTGTGCAGCTCTGTCACAACCATGCCTGTGCCTGGCCATGGAACACATTGATCCAGACCCTGATCCGTGGACTACTTCTCAGCTTGACCTCAGCTCAGTCTCATCTCCACAGTCCTGCCTGTTGATTACTGGGCACTATTCGACCCTGGTTTCTGTCACCAGGCCTGTTCCTGACCTGTGGTCACATTCTTGGCTTGGCCTCTGCCTGGCTTCATCACCATGGATCTGACTGTGCTTCATCTCCACAAGCTTGTCAGGAGATCTGTGGGCTGAACCTAGCTGTGAGTCCTGGGCCTTCCCTGCTCCCTTCCCTGTGCCCTATCAGACAGAGCACTTGCTGGCTCAGCCAGCCTTACTACCACGCTTGGCTCCCTGTTCCATCAGGAGCAGCCGGCTCACGCCGCTTGCTGACATTAACTTTGGAATACATCCTTTCACCTCTGGCTGGCATGGCTCAAAGCCAGGGCAATTAGGAAAGTTGAATTGGGCTATGCTGGCCTTGTGCCACTCCCCCATGCCAGAAGGGCCAGCCTCAGGGTCTAACACCCGTGGTTTTTACAAATGCAACATCTCCAACAAAAACGTTTTCTGTGGTGACTCAATAATTGCTGATAGCCACCTGAAGCAAGGGAGCAGGAAATTCAGCATCACCATCAAGAGATCCATTCAGTTAAAAGCCCCTGTCCAATCAATACTGTCCAGTCAATACTAGAAAACAGCACCTGTTGCTCTGCCATTATCATATGTAAGGCTTTTGCTTCTTACTTGGAGAAGACTCTCTGCCAGAACGCTTGTTAGGTCAGTTATATTGGCTCAGGGATGATCCTGCCCTAGTTGTATACAGTGAATGATCCAAAATATCCTTTAAGACTACTGAAACATGACTTATGTTCCCTAGTACAGAAAAATGATGAAAAAATTCTAATAAAACTGCATTTCTAGTACATCTGTAAGGGTTTACTTCATTACACATGACACACACAGATGTGGATTTAAGTGGAGGCTAAAAATCTTTAGGGAATGTCTTTTGATTTGGGCATTTTCCTATCACCTAAAAATAAAACTATTTTAAGGTAATGTCAGCTAATGATCCACAGAGAACAAAAGGTGAAGTAGCAGAAAATTAGGTCTTTGAAACCTAACTTTGTTTCTTTCAGAAAAATAGAAATTTTCTTAGCCATGAAGTTTTGCAGAATATCACTACAAACACAGCTGATTTTAAAATGCTTTTGAGTAAGAGGTTTGCTTAAAATAAAATCTTCAGTATTGTCTTCTAAAAAAAGTCACTTATGGTAAGTGTGTATTTAATTGCTTAGAAAAACAAGTGACATTTACTAATTGAAAAATATTACACTTTCTTTAAGGTTTTTGAACCATATGCAAATGTATTACAAAACGGAAAATGGAAAAAGGAAGAACATATTCTCTGAAACAGAATTCTAATTGGAAGCAGATATCAAGTCCTATTACATATAGTAGAGATAAATGAAGGTATACATTATGTCTCTAGGACATTCATGAAGATTAAATTGTAAAGACTGCAAACACCTGATGCTGAAATATTTAGTAGTTATATTCCTTAGCATATCTGCTGAAGTATGTAATCTGACTATCTCTTGTTTTTGAAAATCTCCCACCGCTCCTTCTATAGAAATGATTGTATATAGTGTGTACATGTCTGAAAATATGCTTATATACACACCCCCACACTGTATATATAAACTAAATTCACTATTTTTGCAGAGTTTAATCAAACATTACATTATAAATAGGTTGCAAATCACTTCGGCAGGCTCAGTACCAGTTAGTTCATGTCAGGGATTATTTATTAGGCATCTACTTTCCTTCAAAATGGGAATCTCACATAAGGAACAGCTTAAGATTGGTTGAAACTAGTTTGTTCCAGTTCCTCAGCAGATGTCAGTTGTGGGGTGAGGCGGGGGAAGAGAGAATGTAAAGAGCCTTCTTATGTTTTTTTTTTTTTGCAATATGAGCCTAAAATATGAGCTCTGAATTATACCAGTCATGATCTGTAGTGGAATGAGGCAAGGCCGAGAAAAAGAATGAGTGTTATCTGAGAAAACATTTATAAGAGATATGTGTTATACAGGATTGATTTTACATCATTAGCCAGAATGTTAAGCAATATGTGCTTCAAATATTCATTTTGGTTGAACAGTTAACTACACAGGAGAAATAAGTAAATATATTGTTGATTTAATAAATTATTAAATAAAAAAAATACTTATGAACAGTTCAGAAGGGTGCATTCTAATTTTTGCAAATGAACTTTGAAAAGCATTTACCAAAAAACTCCACCTAAAGTCAACTTGCTACATAAGCCAAAGAAAGATAACTACACTATGAAATTGTAAGAAAATGACCACATCTGTGATATTTCATCCATACGATGCAGAGCCAACAGTTAGGAATAATGAGTGCCTAGAAGTCTGTAGCCTAAATAAGTCTGACTGCCAAAAAAGCTGCCTTTCCATTTCATTATCTTGGATCACTCCCAGACCAATATATCCACACTGTGTAACAAATGACACACAGATCCTATTTGTAACAGAGCTTGTGATTTTGTAACTGAATGCTGTCCCACAATTCATGCCTGAAAGCCATGAACTGACAGTCCAAAGGCAATCAAATATTGACACCTCTCATTTCCAAGTGTCTGACTCTGCAATCTACGTAAAATTCTTTTAATTTGCTTTCCCTGTTTGTGTGGTAGTTTGCTTTCCAAAAAGCATATTAGATTCCAGTAGTCCTCTTTTTCTCCCAAACATGGCACTCATGAGCAAGCTTAGAGCCTCAAGGTGAACTTTTTCAGATCCTTGCTATTTAAGCTAGGCATATAGCAATAGCAGGTGACCACCTATGTATGAAAGGCATATGATGAGAAAGTGCACCTTTCAATGGGTTTTCCAGTTAGTCTTTACTGAAAGCCTGGAATGATCTAACACAGGGCTGATGAATGATCTACAGCCCAGACACTGAGAGAAAGGTCACCCAGTAAAGCTGCGAGTTCAGCCATTTTATCCCACTCTCTCCAAACTTCTCTCTATCCCAGTCTTCTCTCTTCACCATCCCTGCTTGGCTCATACCTGCTCTTCTTTTCTGCTGTCGCAAACTCCATTCTTCTTACTCCAGTCCTTACATACTTCTTCAGCTATTTTGCTGCTGTGTGCAAGTCAGTCTCCCCCATTTGTCAAATTTTGTCCCAAGCTGCCTTCTCTGCCTTCCAATCTACTCCCATCTACCTCTCCCTTGCTACTCCACTAGTCTTTTTTGCTTAGCTCAGGCAGCCTCAGTTTTCCACTCAGTTTCACACACAACCATTCCTTGAGGATCCTTCCCAATCATTTGTCTGAAAACCTCCTAGATCCTGTTTCTGTACTGAAACATATCAGGTACCTTCCCACTCACTCTCTCCCTGGTGTCATCCCCACTGTCGCCATCCCCTCTTGGTTTGAGTTTCCTTATTCATTAAGTCTTTCAGCACGTAACTGTTCCACTTGCTGCCAGTGCTCCCAGACACCTCCAGGAATCTTTCCCAAGCATTTTGGTCTCCCAGTCTATTCCCCTTCCAGTCCAATTCACTCATAATTCCAATTGTCAACCATGGTTATTCTACCCACCAACAAGAAGAGTCTCTGTCTCACTTCTTCATTTTATCTTCTTTGCACTAGAAATAGATGCTTTTTGTTGTTGTTGTTCCACTGCACATATACAGAAAGGAATTATAAAGACAGATTCTTGCTCTTGGTACACTTGTCCCATCCGAGTAAGACAGTCCACTTGAGACATCACAGCTTCCTACTGACACCCGATTGTTCACTGCGATGGGATGTATGAAAGACTAATGCCCCAAAAATGCAGGTATAATTCAGTTTGAGACAGACAGAGTCAGCAAAAATTTAATCTATATGTTAATATTCAACATGTTTTCAAACAATAGAAACCAGAATGTCTTCTACTAGGAAGCAGAAGGTATGCTTCATACAGGATGTGCCAGTAGTTTCACCAATAATATATTTTTCTTTACTTGTATAAGGCAGCATAAAAATAAGTGAAATTTAGATTGAATACAGGTTTTTAGACCTATTAACTTGCTTAGGAAAACAAACACAAATCCAAAGGACTCTTGCCCAAAAGCTCTTTGAAGCAGAAACATCAGTCTGGCTTCTTTAAACATCAGTTTGGCTGCTTTAAAGAAGAATAAAAATTGCATATGTAAATACAAGCTCCTTTGAGTCAGGCAATTTTTATGATATGCAAAAAAATGCATTGTTAAGTACATGTTTAAATACTACTGAAAGGACAACAAAAAATCTTTTGTCTCAAGGATATGTGGATAGAGTTAAACCTTAGAGAAAGATAATAGTGAAATAAGCAGGGTCAAATCGTCAGTCTCTTTGAAAAAACAGTGAAGACATTTCTACTTCATTTGTACATTCTATCTCCCATTAGATCTTAGCAAAAATATTGCATAGACCAGATAGTAGTTCGAGCACCCAGAGGGTGGTTGGGCACTGGAACACGCTCCCCAGGGCAGTGGTCAGCACCAAGCCTGACAGAGTCAAGGTTTAGACAACACTCTCAGATACATGGTGTGACTCTTGGTGTGTCCTGTGCAGGGCCAGGAGTTGGACTTGATGATCATTGTGGGTCCCTTCCAACTCAGGATATTCTATGATTCTAGACAGTAGCCTCTTTTCTACACAACTTATAAACCAGTAAAGGTCTCTTTTGCAACTATATATTTTTAATGCCTATTCAAGGGCAATTAATGTAAGAGCTAAATTTTCATCACGGTGTAAAGTAATACATGCAAAGTACATTCTACCACAAACCAAGTGAACATTCGAAAACATATACTGCTTATACGTGTAATCCATGCAATTCAATACAGGTGCTTGGTGTCAGCTAGTTTGTAAATTTGAAGAGTACACAAATGCTTATATTAAATCTTACCTGCAGTATTCACAATTCTCTTTGCTCGAATTATTCCAAGTGGAGTTTCAACTTCCCATGTCCCATCTGATCGGGAGTTAAGATCAGTCACTTGGATGGGATAATTTAACTGGGCACCATATTTTCTGGCTCCTGCAGCCAAAGCCATAGTGAGAGAATACGGATCGATATGACCATCTCCAGGGTTATACAGGCCAGCTAAAACCTAAGTGGAGGTAAAATTCCCCAAATGAAATAAATTAAAAATTATCAAAATTAGCTAATTTAAAAAAAAAACACTTCCTTTCTTGAATATAGTAAACCTTAAGAAGTCAAATGAAAACAAATTTTCAAAATGTGATAATATTGGCCTACATAGAACTATCCAACTTAACAATTGTCTAAAGGAGTAAAATTGCTCAGATTTCCCGTGCAATCAAAGGTTGCAATGCTTTAATGTTATAATATTATATACATAGTGATTAATAGTATGCACACTGGACTAAAATGCACATGAGTCTGATTTTAGGCTATAATACATCTTTTTTTCATTGAAAACCAAGAATTTCTTGTACAATTTGTATAAAGAAAGTAGACCATACATATTTATATCTGATAGACCAATATTTAATTGCAATGGAAATTATATTTCATAAAACCAGCTTCTTTACCTTATCCATGTTCAATAAGGGAAATAGCTCTTGTACTTTCTCAGGCGTGATTAGGTACTGCTCCGTTGGGTGCCAACCAGCACGAGTCATTTGGTATTTGAATTCATCCACCCTAGTAGGGGTTGAAGCAATTCTGATACTGCCAGGCTGATGAAATCCCACAGACTAAACCAAAGAGAAATAGTGAATTACTGAAAGAACCTTTACTGATTGCCATATATGCATGTTTCTATGCTATGGGAAGTCTAACAGGAATTTTGTCACTAACATCACCGAAAGAAAATTCAAGTAAGTTAGGGGCTCCTGAAGGAACAGGGCTTAGATATAAACTCCTAGAGAAAATAATTTTTCAAGAAGTTATCAAATTAATTTCCTAGGTTAATGCATACTATCTTCAAAAAAAAAAGTTGCAAGAAGCATTTATTGAATGTCATGATACTTTTACTTTTATTAAGATTTGATTAATACTTGATGTATGCACTTGCACAGTTTCAAAAATAGAATGGGGTATGTCTCAAAAATAAATATATATAACAGCTTATATTAAAGTCTATCATCCACATAATTTCCTATTGAAATGCTGCAGAATATATTTAACTAACTAAGCACCTTTATTGACACGATGAATAACCACTCGCCTTTTCTGTCTTCTTAATAAAGTAAACATCCTTACAGAGCTAGACACTGACCGCTTACCTTCTGGTACACACTATTTTTTTCACTTTTTCTATGTTACCTCACAGGACAATAACAGGGCTGAATTAAGTTTTTTACTGAAATTCACAATGATAATCTGCTGTGGTATCTTATCTAGTTGAGTAGTAGAAAGAAGAAAAAAGCATTTTATGACAAATAGAAAAAATACATGTCATATTAAATACGACAAATGTAAAAAAACCTCTACAAAATTTGTAACTAGTACAGTGAGGATTGTGCAATTTCTGCTGCAGTCCGAAGCAAGCATGAGTTTAGTAAATGAAATCTATATGGCTGAGTGATGCCAGATAAAAAGGATGACACCTGTGTTTCTCTGCATATCCATTCCTTAAATCACTACATAAAAACACATCTCTGAAAGGAATGGGAAGAATTGCAGCAATTTTCTCAAGTACAGACAGCATCGTATCATATGAATTTTTAAGTGGACACGTTTAAAACAGGAATGTATCATAATCAATCCATTCATTCCAGATCTCTGACGCTATTTGAGCTCCTCTATCAAGCTAAAGTTGCAGACTCTCAATCTGTTGAGCTCATGAGATGTTTTATGAACACCATTTTCTCAAACTGTAGAGGGATCTGGGAAACCATCTAAAATACATAGAGACTAAGCATGCAGAAGAGTTTGTTTCATTAAAAAGGGACACAATCCCACTCCACACCCTTATCAACTACAAACTTTTTTGTAAGACTATTACTGCAGCTAGTATTACTCTGAATTAATACTTTAAAGGTTAAGGTGATTACCTGCCCAGTCTCTTCTTCCAGTTTCTCATAGAGCTTGATGCTGTAAGCATGGATTTTCTTCAGGTTTATTCCAGGGTGAAAATAAGTAGTTAAGCCAGCCTCAAATAAGAAATAGGAAAAATAACACCATAAATTAGAAAGGTAATGTTTTCTTTCCTTCCTTCCAACTGTCAAGATACCATAAAGAAACACATGGATACAGCCAATTGCTACGAAAATAAAAATAAAATCCTTTCCCTACTTAAGGCATTTTTGTTTTCTGCACAGGTGTCTTTCCATCTGTCCTTTCTCATCAAATGTGTCAACCTATGATAGTTTTGCAGCTGTTCTCTCCTGTGGTTTCCTTTCTTCCTTAAGTTATTCAGCTGACTGCTTCCTATCTTTTGGAAGGTACACACAAACTTCATTTCTGACAACTAAGTCAAATTATTAACTCTAAATGTCCTGTAGTAAGGCCTTTTCTCTCTGTAAATGGAGATGGGAGAGAAACCAAACCTTCAGGAAGACCATATCTTCATATGAATTCTTACATTCCTGGAGCGTGAACAGCAGGGCAGTGGAAGACGATATTCTTCTATTCTCCACAGTTGTCTTATGTGGCAGCTAAAGAGCAACTGCTGCATTCCAGAAGTAGTTTAAAGAATTATTGTATACATTCTGTACATCACTTTACTAGGTCTGACTTCAGAAAGCTGTCAAGCTCTTTTGAGTTTATGTAAAGGTAAAACCAAGAAGTTACTACAGCCTCTTTTATATTTAAGGAAACTATTCACCTGCCTACAATGGAGATGGCTGCATCAACCTAATGACATTCATAACTGCAGTCATTTAGCACTTAAAAAAGCAGAATACAGTGTTACTGAAGTTAAGCGTATGTCCTGAATTTGTCAACTCATTAACACCCTTCTTCAAGTGAGACAGCATAAATGTAAAATTAACTTAGGTTTCCAAGATAACTACACTGATTTAAATATTTTATATACATAGTGCATTTTTTGCTAACTAAAACAGAGTTTATTCAAACATTAAGGTTGCTTCCATTAAGGGAGCTAGACGCTGGAGTCCATCTTCGACTTCAGGGATCCTTTGAGAAAAATGATAGTAGTCAAAAGTAAAAAGTAACACATATAGTATAGTTTTGATACTTTCCTTCTAAGTTGCCCAGTTTGCATAAACATTAAATACTCTTGATTTTAACTTGTCAACTCTGTTCAGTGCTATGTATTTTGAGGCTTTAACTTTTAAAGCTAGTGGAATATCTGTAACCATATGAATAACAAAAGCAAGATTTAGTGATCTTTAAAGATATAATAATGCTAAGAAGTTATTAAATGTTACAATTCTCTATAATTAAAATATCATATATTAGATCACACAACCTCATTTTTTTAAACAATAGCCTCTTCTGTCCTATCTTTCTTGGTGCAGTTTCACATTTAAGACAGGATCTTTTTCTTCTGAAAGTTAGTTTTGAATTGTTCTTAGCAAATAGCTTACACCCAGATACCATTTCCATCAAAAAACATAGCTCATACTCACTGACATGACAGGTACTCATTATCTTCAGAGAAGGAGGGTCATTACTGTCTGGCATTACTGATTGTATGTCTTGATGCTATCCACAGGCTTGAAAGCTTTTCTTTCCTTTATTTGCAAGAATTTTATCTTTCTGATATCTTAGTTTATATATGATATCATAGTGTACCACATCACTGAAATGCCAAAATAATCCAGTGGAAAAGAGTGTAAAATAAATAATTTGCCAGTATTAATTTTTCAGTTGTGTCTGTATTTTACTCATAAATTTGACTCTAAGTATGTTTGGTATTGTTCACTACCTCAACAGTCTGCATTTATAAAGTGATCACACAAACATGTAGGAGTGAGATAAATCTATTAATGGTCCCACTAAGGACAAAGAAGGTGGGCTGGATTCTTAAAGTCCCTGGGCTAAAGTAATAGTTTGGAAAAAATACTGCTTGCAATCATTAGCATCACACTGGACACAGGTGAAGATTAGGTATTTGACTAATTGTGGTTTTTATCTCATTTGATACATGTGCTTTTATATGGTTGTGACCACATTTATTTTAATTACCTTAGACTAAATCCCAGGGCTCTTTTACTGTAGAATTTGTAATTTAAATTGTTCGTTTCTTAAAAACTACGTTCTAAGGGCCTTTTTTTTTCTGTGTATACAGAGTGAGGAAATAAATTAGGCATCAAAATGTTTAAATTTCTTTAGCTGTGTAAAGTAGCCTAGGAGTAACTAATTTACTTCTACCTGCAAAGTTTATCATCTCATAATTACTTTTACTGTCATCTTTTATTTATGTAAACATTTTCTGATCTTCTTTTATTTTTCCAAATGTAGTAATGCATTTTCCAGATATAAGGAAATTCCATTTTCATGGTCACTATTAGTGTAGTTTTTTTTAACTAAATAAGCCACAAATCACTTGCAAGTTAGCTATAAAATCATATATATTCATAAGCATTTAATTGCATGAATTAAATAAATACTTCACTCTCTGACGCTTTCAAGTGAAGGAAAGAATTTTAAATGCATTTGATGCCTTTCGCCTCTGATAATGAATGTTTCTGATTTCAGGAGCGCAGCTGGGAGACAACTATAACCTGGCTGCACTGTATAAAAATTAAGATCATAAAATCATAAAATAATGATAATGAAACAAACAGATTGAATGGGACCTCGGGAGATCTCTCTCCAACTTCATATTCAAAGCAGGGTCAGCTAAAGGATCAGATCACATTGCTCAAGATTTTCTTCAGCCTGTCCTTTGAAAATCTCCAAAGATGGAGGCTGCACCACTTTCCTGGCTAAGCATAGAACTTTGCCTTTGTCCTTGTTAAATTCCATAAAGCTCCTGTCCTTTCATCCTTCCAGCCTGTCTAGTTCCCTCAGCATTGCAGCTATGCCCTATGCATTGCCTGATCATCCCAGTTTGGTGTAAACTGCAAACTTGATGAGCACGTACTTTGTCACCTATTCCAGATTATTGAAAAACATATTAAACAGGATGGGTGCCTGGTCAGACTCCTGTGACACTCTACTTATTTCCAGGTTTTGGGTAGCATATGACCCATTAACCACTACCCTCTGAGCCTAGCCATCCAAATAGTCTTTTAATTTTCTAGTTGTCCAGCCATATAGACCATAGCATCTTCAGCTGAATACATGAATATTATGGGAAATGGTGTCTAAAGTACTGCTAAAATCTAGATAAGTGACATCAACTAATCTCCCCTTGTCTAAGAATTCAGTCATTTCATAATAGAAGGTAATTAGGTTTCATCAGACGTGATTTATTCTTGGCAAATCCTGACTCTTCCCTGTCAAATTTTTTCTCCTTTATGAGCCCAGATCTGAGACTTGTTTGATGATTTTCCCAATAACCAAATTATGGTTAGCTGGCCTTTAGCTACTCTGCTCAGCCCTTCGGCATTTTAAAGGGATGCATACATATGCCTTTCTCCAAATGTCTGGCACCTCCACAATCTCAACAGTCTTTCAAAGTTGATACATCTGCAGATTTGCAATGCCATGAGCAGTCAGTGCCTCACTCCTGTACTTAAGTCGAAGTACTCTTTGAGTGTTTCATAGTTATGGTTCAATACACAAGATGCATGATCTGACACTAAGCATGGTGTTGCTGTTTGTTGAACTATGGTATAGCTGCCTAAAGGCATAAAGTTATTGAATTTTGTTTCTCCTAACTACAAACAATGTGTTTTCTTTTGCTTTGTTTGTTGAAAAGCACGTAAAATGAAATATACTACTTATATATTGCAGACAGTGACTTTTTAAAATTTCATTTTTTACTGTTGTCCTTTAATAAGACCTCAAACACACAAATTTTCTGCAACAAGATGAAGCATTCTAGACTTCAGACTTCCTCCCCCGGGAGAAGTACAAGAATAAAATACAATACATCTGATACATCCTCCTTAATTTGTTCCTGAAAGGCACTCAGATAAAGTATGCATAAATGTTCTATAGTACTAACAGAGTAGTTCTAGAGACATTAAACTGTTGGGTTTTCTCCTCTTTTGTATTGAATCACAGAATATTCCGAGTAGGAAAGAACAAACAAGGATCAAGTCGAACTCTGAAGTAAATAGCCCATACCGGGATTAAATCTGCAACCTTGGCATTATTAGCACCGTGCTCTAACCAACTGGGTTAATCTCAGGGTCTACACACAGGGATAACAACCTCCCAATTTCAGATAAGAATAACTGGAAATTAATGGAAAAAGCATCTATTATTGTATTATTGTGGCAAGCTTTATTTCATTTTGTTACATTACCTGCTCCAGACATTAATGTAGAAAATATGGAATTACATACATGTATGTTGTGCACCAGTATGTCCACATGATTAGCATTACTATAGGAGGTGTCCCCACTCTAATATTATTACATGTATGTCTTTTTAGTTCTTTTCCTTAAAATGTAGACAAACCTTCAGGCTTAAAAAACCCCCACAGTGTACAGTTGTTATATTTGCTCCCCCAAGACTTTATATAATTTCAGCAGTGGCAGGAAAGAAAGCCAGGAAATAAAAAGGTAATGAAACTTCCACACCATTATATACACAAACTGCTGTTAATTTGAGAGATTAACAAAATATTTCTTACTGCATGCCAGGTAGATCCTGCAGTGAGCTCAGATTTTTCTAGCAGAACAACATCCTTCAAGCCAGCTTTAGCCAAGTGATAGGCTAGACTCACACCAACACAACCACCTCCAATGATCACTGTGTCTGCTCTGTCTTTCCCCAAGGAAGGAGATGAGGTTTTTTTCCTGGAAAAAAAGAAAAATTACAAAAAGGCAATTTTCCATCTCTTTTGTTTACTGTTTCAATGATAATAAAACTTGGTGTCTGCTTGGCAATTTACACACCTAACTTAAACCCCAACGTGTTCACCTGTATCTTCTTTTAAAGTAAATGCTCTTGGAGGGTCATATATGTAAATAATAGTAATACAAAAAAAAACAAAGCAAGCTTGCTTCCACTTGCAACTTTAAAACTTGTGTTATTACCCAATATAACTTTATATGTAGATTCTATTTTTCAATAACAAACTGGCCCCCCAAATGACAGTGTCAAAACCTGACTTTTCGAAAGCGCTATAGTATGTGCAACACAAAGTCTTTAAAAAATGTCTCCTTAATAAGGCTCCTTAATAAATTTCTAAAGCCAGTGTCAGTAGACTATGACAGTGTATGTGTTCATGAACAATGAAACTTGGTTTTCATTTTGTATGTATGGCCAGTCTTCGCGAACGAAGATTTGGGAAAGGTCATTACCCTTCGAACCTGCGCAATGGATTTTTTAGGTGAGACACAGTGTGCGCTGAACTGAGCCCACCCTTTAATCCTGAGGTTCATCTGCGGGGGCCGAGCGAGCTTGGACAGTGGCAGCGAGGTCCTCAGGACGTAGGTTTGTTTAGAGTGACCTTCTCTTAGATGGATGGCCTTACAGGGCTGACGAGCTCCATCTGCCCAGGGGATTTTCCCTTGACCGGGAACCGAACCCAGGCCGCGGCGGTGAGAGCGCCTGGTGGACCCCTGGTTGGGGACCCCTGGTGGTCTAGTGGTTTTTATTTTATATTCTGTCTATTTTGACATGTTCTTGTTTTTCTGAAGACAAAACATTATAGAAACAGGTTTTTGTCAATTGCTCACACCTGTTACCCCACCATACTGTATTTTCACAACTACTTTAGGCCAGCATAAACCAGAACTGCTACCATAGGCAGTCCCATTCTTCTCTAAGTCATCTGATCCTCCTCTCTACTACCTCATCCACAGACAGCCAAGCAGCAAGCTACATGTGGAAATTTATAATGATTTTTAAAAAAGTATTTCTTTTGGTGTGAGACAAGGTAGGACATATTAGTACAGTAGCAGTACACACTACGTAAACCACAGTATCTCTCCCTTCAGGACAGTTAATCAATACTCAATTTTATCTCTCCTTGTACACTTGCGACTTCTCTGGCAACAGACTTTCTAATGTATAACTAGTCTTCCAGTCAGAAAACAAAGCTACTAGTTTTATGTATTATGAACAGAGATCTTATTACATTTTAACTGCAATTGCAGGAGGAATGTGCACCATGCTTACTCTCTAGGTAGTAACGAATAAATGGGAGGACAGACCACCACAGGTTTGTATATTTGGTGCACCACACACTTGCACGTGTTCTTTTTTGCGATTACATATTAATTTTTGCAAGTTAACAGTAAGCTGTTTAACAGCCAAATGTGAGACACTTACACCACTCCTCTACTGAATTTTGAGGCACGTGTTAATCAAGGTCAACCATAGAGGCTTTTCTCATGCTTCTTTTATGCTGTGGATTTGAGATTTTCTCACCTGACTTTCAGTTTTTTTCAAACCTTTGCCCAGGAGCCCGGCAAAGACCCGGGGTGCACCTTCCCGGTGAAGTACACCTGCACCCAGATGTTTGATCGTGCCAGTTAAAACCGGTCAGTACTTGCTCATCGGTATGGCCCAGAGGACACCAGGAGGGATCTTTTACACCAGGTCAGCAACGCACCCCGGATGGTTCTGGCTTTGCCGCAGCAATGCGAGGCGCTGGGAGATGCACTCCCTGCCCTCAGGTGATCCGTCCGGCCGCTGGTAGAGCATCGCAGGCCGGCGGCAGGAGCCCGCCCCTCTCACCGCCTTCCCTGCGCATCCCCGACAGCAGCATCACCGGGAGCCGCGGCTTCGGGCGGCGCGGAACCACGCGCGGACTGTGCGACCGCGCCCGGCCCCTCCGCCCGCCCCCCGCCCGCACTCACCACCCCTGGGTGCCGAGGGGCCTCAGGGCCGCCGCGCCGAGGGGGCTGGGCCGGCGCGGGGGCTGCAGCCGTCGCAGGGCTCCCCGCAGCACCGCGCTCATCCCGCACACAACCAGTGACGGGGAGCGCTGGCCCCCCACCGCTCCCGCGGCGACCCGTCCCGCCCCGCCCCTGTCCCGCCGAGCCCAGCCCTCCCGGAGGAGGGTGCCGGACCGCCCCTTGGCCGAAGGGGCAGCCCGGGGGGCACCGGGCGCCTCTCGAACTCGAGCCGGGCGGGGGCGGGGGCGGCGGCGGGAGGAGCGGGACAGCCCCGGCCGTGCCAGGGCGTCCTGCGGGGTCAGGGGCCGGACCGGGCAGGGGGTGTCGCCCGCAGCTCTGCCCCCAGCGCCCGCCCCCTCCGGGGCTATAAAAGCGTGGCAGGAGGACTCGTCGGGCTGATCTTCGCGTCGAGCCGTGGGGGGTTAGCGGGCAGCCGGCGTCCCTGGACGAGGAAGATGCTGCCGATCAGGAAGACCGCGAAACAGGGCAAAAGGGTAATTCTCCTGCCTCTCTCCCCACCCAGCCCCGGGCGCTGCTCCCCATGGGTACGGGAGTGATATCCCCGCCGCACTCCCCTCCGGCGCCCGCCGCGGTGCGGACGCTGCCCCGGCGGGACCGGGCGGTGCGGGAGGACAGCCCCGCACCGCGAGTCTGGCGACGGCTCAGGGCAGAGCTCCCGGCCGCCCCTCTAGCCTCCGGCGGGTCCTGCCCGTAGGCTCCCGAGGGGAGCTGCTGCTAGAGCGCCATGACCCGCGAACTGCGCCGGTTACCTACCAGTAAGGTACTCGGTATCTCTGCAGGTAAGGTGATCTTGCGAGAACCTAAAATAAAGCCATGATAATTATTGTAAGTGTTCAGCATGGAGCCGTTAAAGACATTTGGACATCATGAGATAAATTAGATTGAATTAACTCTGAAACAGCTCACAGAGTTTTTGTTTCTCTGAACACATAGACTGGAGCAACAGAGTTCGAGACCATTTTACCTAATAGTATTTGATATGCAAATTAAGCAGGACTCACAACACACTGCAAATTAAAATTATAAAAATTGTAAGGATAAACTGTCATTGAATTTGATTTCTGTCTTCAGCATCCTGCCTGCTCTATTTAAAAGCCCCAAATTGCTCTTCTCTTGATTAATATGACTGGATACCAACAGCATTTGTAATATCCACCCAAATTCCTATGTATCTATGCCCTTTGCTCCCTCATTAACTAAAGAAAGAAGCCAGTATAAAAAGTTATCCAGGCATCAGCCATTCAGGCCATTAAGGCAAAGCCATGAGCTTCTAAATCAAACTCTCTGACATTTACCGATACTGCTGCCCTGCACTGCTGCTTGGGAAGGTCAGCAGAATCATGTATCCATCTTTTATTTGGAAGGACACAATTGCCATTAGTAGGGCACACCTTACTCAGAACTGGTTTTGCACATTTTTATGTGTAGCGTGTAAGTCCAGAGTAAGAGAACAGAAAGATACAGGAAGAAGTCTATGAGCTCTAGGTCTTTCAGGTAGATCAGTTGCAAAGGAGCAAGGTTGGGGGATATTTTTTCTGCTTTTTATATTTTGGCATATACTCTTACCACCTAACTTCAACACCTAGCAGAAGGAAACTTTCGTAAGTTCCCCCTACAGGCAAGGGACTTCTCTAGAGGGCTTACTTAAGATCTGAATAGTTGTTTTGAGATTCTTTTTCTCTCCACCAAGGAGGAGGTAGGCTATAGATAGACCAAGCAGGTTCTTCACTTACAGAGTTCAGTTACATTCCTAAAGGTGGTTGAGGGAATATCTTCATATTCACTCTTTCTGTGAATAGATGGACCATGTGCTGCAACTTCATTCATAGGAGCAAAGTGAAGCAGTGAAAAGATGGCTCAAAAAAGCCTTGATTAGCTTTTTACACGTGCTGTTTCTTGTAATTTAATACCAGATTTGTGAAGTACCAGATCACCTGTCAGTACGGTTTTGATCTGGATCAGACATGAGCACACAACTGTAAGTCTCTGGGGCAGAACGAAACAATATTGACCCTGAAATTCAGCTAGCTATACGCTCATTGAACCAATGGTATTTTACACAGTATATAAAGCAAAAATGGTGTGAAGAGAAGATGTCAGACCCATAATAAACTTTGCAAAAAGTTATTTCCATTTTAATCCAATATGAACTAACAAAGTAAGTTTTTATTAAGTATTTTGTGCTTTGTATTTATCTCTGCTGCTCTGATGCTAGGTTTCATGTATCACAATATATTAAGATGCCATGGTCTATTCAAACATGGCTTATGTTGCTTCTGTGTGTCAAAAATGAAGATTATTTTAAAATGCAGTTTAAAAAAACTAGAACTGTGAAGAAAAACTGTTGTTAAATCCTGTGACTTGTTAAAAAAATCTACTGAACTGCATTTAAGTACATATATAATATAATAATAAATATAATACCTATATGTGATATCAATATGTGTCTATTACTTGATGTTCAGTTAACAAGCAACAACAGGCTGCTTGTATGGTTTTTTTTTCTGCATACCTGTTCTCTGGATATTAAATTTCTGAAGCAAACTCCATCTACAAAAGATACTTTGGCAGGCAGGGGAAGCAGGGCTCAAACAGTGATCACTTGGGTACCTTTCTCTCACCCCATTTGAGGCATTTGGTTACAACTGCAAGTTAGTTTATTGCAAGCACAATCTTTACAAAGCCTCCTGGCACTTACATTAAAATTCTTTTGCCTGTTTCTGCTGAAATAAAGATAAAAACTTGCACACTTCATAATAAAGCTTTAATCAGGTCAATATTTTGGCAAGTCCACAGTGTGCAATGGAATCTGATGCAGAGGTTTGCAAGCCAACACTTGGCCAATCTCTGCACAGCAGCACTGCACAGAGAAGTCCTGCCACCTTGCTGCAATGTCAGTGCCTCAGCCAAAACTGGTGACCCTCTGAGGCTTGGTAGGCTCCAAAGAGCCTTACACTGCTGTGCTTGGTACTGAGACTGGCACATTGGCATACTGTTCCTTCTGCTTGCAAAGGCATACTCACACCCTGCCTAAAGGGCAGGGCTGAGATGTCATAAATGTTTGTCTTTGCTGGAGGTATGGTATAATAAGATAATTATATTAATGTATAATAAGATAATTATATTAATGAAGGACAAAGTATCAAAAAAGAAAATCTACTAAAGGTTGAAGGCTGATTGTTAAAAAAGCCTTCCACTCAGCCTGAAAATCACACTCAACTCTATGTCCATGAGGCTTTTCTTTTTCCTACTCCCTCAAAGTTCATCCATTGAAAGGCCAGTGTACTGTCAAGAAAACTATGGAGAGAAATTGCAGTCTTACCTTTGATAAATTCTTTTCCTATACTCACTACCTTGTGTATGTAGTCTTCAATCATTCATCCACTTCTTTAAATAAATAGAATTATGGTTGCAATCCAATAGCAGAAATAAACCCTATTCTGACAGCAATGTACTTTTTAGAAATTTTGAACAAGCCAATGAAGCAATGAAAGGAATAAAAAAAGTAATATATTTCAGGTGAAACTAATATATGTTCTCATGTTTTTCAATTTTACAAAAAAAAATTGCCACTTTCCTTGCACTACAATGGAATTGAAGGCAGAAGCAAGGGTAATCACAGGGTGCTGTAAGGTTTTTAATTTGGCTTCTTAAAACATTTCAGGGCTGTGAAAAACAAAACAGGATTTTCTTTAACTTTGTAAATCTGGATAAGCAAACCCAGGCCTTAAAAAGACTGTCAGAAACTGCAGGCCAGCTTTTGAGATGTGTCTTGTTTGGTAGGAAAATGTTACATGATTACTTTTCTGTGATGCCTGTTGTGCCATCTGGTGTCACAAGGTATTTGTGGTAAGGCTCTACGAAGGTGGCATTTGTAGCTAAAAGACAAATGGGCTAATAAAGAGATTAGTGATACTAGTGTTTCATTTTAGGAAGTTTTGCATACATTTTACAGAAGAATTTGAGACGCTGTTTTACTTTCATGGGAATGAAATTGGACCATTGACTTCCAGTTCTGGGGACTGTATCTCTGAAATACGATACAACTGACTAATGAAAAGACATAATAAATGTGTACATATTAAAGCCTTATGCTGCAAAAGACCACATATACTATTCTTTAAAGATAATTTCAAAAGGAAATTTATTACTTTTTACTGTTACAGCAGAAGTATTTCTGGTAGCCTGCAGGTATTTATGTCTGCTTTACAAATACAGAAAATGGCAACAAAGACAAAGGAAGGCCACAAAACTGAAGCACAGTAATTGTTAATATTTCCTCCTGCTTTCTTCAGGGTATTCTAGAGCGCTTGGATGCTGGAGAAATTGTGATTGGAGATGGAGGATTTGTCTTTGCTCTTGAAAAGAGGGGATATGTAAAAGCTGGGCCTTGGACTCCTGAAGCAACTGTAGAACACCCAGAAGCAGGTCAGTTTTACTAGGAAATAGTATTCCTGTAGTGAATGTAAACATGGTTGGCTCAATAATATACAGAAACTCATAGTAGGTTTTCAAATAGGAGTGTTCCTTGACACTGTGTAATTACATTGTTAAGAACAGCATAGGAACTGCCCATCTTAGCCCTTTTACTTGCTCTAACACTAGCCAAAAGCAGTTGACTGGGGTTTATATTCATATTCTTATATGAATAGTGCAAACATGTAGTGATACATCTTCAAAATGCTCTCCCAGTCTTCAATAATTTGCATCTCAGGGACTTTTTATTGCAGATGTGGTTACATTTGTGTTTAATAACATTAGGTGATTTCTCAGTCATGAATTTGTCCAGTCTGTCCTAGAGCTGATCATTTAAAGCTTATGATTTATAACATCTCAGGAAAAAGAATTCTGCAGTTAACCATCTGTTTTGTTTTGTTTTAGTCATTCTAGGACTCTTACATATTTATAAACTAAAATAGTTTTTTTATTCTTTCAGAGAAATAACAGTTTTTAATAAACATCGTAATGGGAGTATTTAATGTTTCTGGCTCCACTATGAAATGGGGAATGACAGACCTCAAAAGAACCTAAAAATGGCAATAAACAGATAATGAAGT